AACGAATATTTTCTATGAAAATTTTCTCGACATTCAGGGCCGGTAAATGTTATTTAATACTGTTTATTTTAAACAGAGCATTTGCTTAAATACTTGTATCTATAAAATAACAACGTTAAACATAAATAAAATGTCTTTAATAAATAAATTGTCGGACCTCGGCCCATTTCTTAACATATGACGTCATTTGTTTACATTCGATACGCCAGAGCAGTTATGAATGTCTAAGATTCATGGAAGATTGTAGTTTATAACAGTAAATTCGACCTTTCTACCATAAGGTTCATGGTGGCCGAGTGGTTAAGGCACGCCGTAAAGTGACGTTCCAGAGTAGGGATGCAGGTTCGAATCCTGTCTATGAACGAATATTTTCTATGAAAATTTCTGGACATTCAGGCCGGTAAATGTTATTTAATACTGTTTATCATAAACAGGCATTTGTTAAACACTTGTATCTATAAAATAACAAGGTTAAACATAAATAAAAAATTTCTTTAATAAATAAATTGCTTATGGACCTCGGCCTGGCTTAACATATGATGTCATTTTTACTTATTCAAATGTTAAGAGCAGTTAACGTATCTACTTTTATTCTGATCACTTGGAAGATTGTAGTGTTATTTTTTTAAATTCGACCTTGTTTCACCATATAAGGTTCATGGTTTGAGTGGTAAAAAACACGCCAAAGAGATATGACGGTTCCCATGATAGGATATTAAGAAAGAGATAAATCGTTATGAAATCTGAATATTTGTGAAAGAAAATCCTGGATATTCAGGCTGATTGATTTGTTATTTAAAAACTGTTTATCATAAACAGTTTGCTTAAATACTTGTATCTATAAAAATAACAACGTTAAACATAAAGAAAAATGTCTTTATTAAATAAATTGTCGACCCCCAGGACTTAACACTGAAGATTTGTTTACATTCGACACGAAAGCAGTTATGAATGATTAAATAGATTCTGGAAGATTGTAGTTTCTAACAGAAATTGACCTTGTCTACCATAAATTTTGGATGAATGGTTAACACGTCAACGTATATGATTGAATAAGCTCAGGTTCGATCCTGTCTATGAACGAAAATATCCGTAGAAAATTTCTATCTGACATTCACTTTTACAATGTTATTTAAACTGTTCGATTTAAAAATCATAAATTTGCTTAAAGCTTGTCATTATAAAATAATCTCCGTTAAACCATAAATAAAAAGATGAAGAAATAAAGAGACGATGACGGATTGATGGTGAAACAACGGGTAAAAATCATTTTTTTTCATATCTTCACACGTGTAAATGGATATAGAAGAAGAGGACAATGAAGGAAATAGTGGAGATCCATGATCGTCCACACTATGGTGGGACATGAGAAATAAAAATAAGTGTATGTCGGAGATGATAGCGCACGAAGGATATATTTTTGTGGAGAGACTCAAAATCGGATATAGAAAATTCACTAAAAAATAAATTATTGAATTCGATTGAATTATATAATTCGTTTTATAGATTAATCAGCCACCCCAGAAATACTGAATTTCAAGTTACCATCTCTAAAACACATTCAAAAAAATAAATATCTATAAAAATAACATTAAATTAAATTCTTAAATGAAATATTTTATTTAAATAATACGAGGGTAAATAATTGGATAGGCTATTTTATGACATAAAAAACAAAGAGGTAATACTATATTTTAAAACACATCTGGGATCACGGATAATAGCAGATATAGTATTCCATCGTTTATATAAAGGAGCAACGAGTTATATATGGACGCCACATCAGCGATATACCATATATATATCTATATAAGAGGAATCAAACCAGGAAAATCCATATATTATATATGATATATGCAGCATGCGTGAGGTCTATGAGTTGGTAGAATTGGAAGAAGTAATGACGAAACCGATGTGGCCATCAACATCGCGCGACTCACAAGGGCACATCAAGAGGGTGGTAGATGGTTTTGGTTGCGTTTCTTTTTCACTATTTTCACTTTATAGGTTATATTTTGCATAATGGGTGAAAACTGATCTCTCAGGCGCATCAACATGTCGCGCACTGAGCACATCATTTTCTAATTAGATGGTTTTGTTCTTTGTTGAAATGATGATCAATCTTCTGTTGTTATATAATGATAAACACGCATATTATACAAGTCTTATGGATTCAATCTATATATAAATATATACTGAATATGTATGTATGCACCAATGGCCACTTCATTAATTATTGATGGATGTATATATAAATGAGTTAATAATGTAAATGTGAATAAATAATATTTTTTGTTTATATATATGTATATTTATGCCAGTATATGAAAAAATATATATTTAAAAAAAACGTATATTTATTTATATGTATAACAAATAATTAAAACGTTTATATGAATATATATTACATATATGTATTAAATGGTGTGAAACAGGTAAGTTTTGTTGTGGAAAATTCTAAAATGGAAACTGAAATGAAACTTAAATTACTTATTCCATTTTTAATTGAAATTGGTTGTCATTGCCAAAAGTGAAACAAACAAAATTTGAAATCTTGAAAGAAAGAATGTTTTTGGTAGGATTCTATCATCCAAATTAAATGAAACTATCATCTCTGTACAATCATATATACATTTAATCTACATTTATCATGAACAATTTTGCAGCCTATCATATTGTAAAAAATTTAATCTTTGTGAAAGCAACGTCAGCTAATATGAATTAATTTTCAAACAATAGATGTAATTCTTCAGTTCCTTCATGTTTTCTTTTCTTGGATAAAATAACTCAGAGAAGTGATTGATATTTTGTTACTAGTTCTTAGCAAGTTAACTAGAAAAAAAAGGTGATAAATAAAGACATAACTAAGTCTCCTAATTTCATTTTATTTCTCTTTGTCAAACCAGAAAATAACAACGGGTCTTCAGTTATTGCTTTCTACAAAAATGAAATTCCTTCTGGGTCACAAGGTAAGAAGAAGTGTTAAGTAAACAAGAAAAACTCTACTAACAACAGTATATTCTATGCTTTATGCTTTATATTATTTCCAGTTGCCACTTATTGATAAATAATTTGGAAATCTTTTTCACAGTAAAGCCGTTAAAAAATATGATAAATATATAAGTCAGTACCTCCAAAGAAATGTGATTCCTAAGGTTTAAAATGAACTTTTAAAAATGAAAAATATCTTTCTTGGAGCTTTTGTTTTAGTTTTAATTTCAAGTTTTTGAATTTAATATTTCCAATAATCAAAATACGTTGCTGTATTTCAAACTAATTTAGATTGATTGATTATTTTTTTTTTAATATTGCTGATCTTAGCTATTTTTAGCCATCTGTCAGCACAATATAATTCACTTTATTAAAAAATCTTTAAAAAATAAAATGTACTTTTCTGAAGCGTTATTTGAGGAACATTAGCTGATTTAAAGTTTAATTAATCAAATTTGAAACAAATATTATTTACTTTAAATATCACAGAAAGGCATTTTTAACATGGTGGTAGGTGTTTATTTAAGGTCTTGACAGGTTAACATCTTAACTAACAGCCAGAAATTTATCTAATTTATATCTAAAAATTACTTGAGGAATATAAGATGAGTGGCTTCTTTATATAATTTTTAACTACCCAGTACATTTAAAAATTTAGGAAAGATTTTATAAAAAAGAAACCTTTTCAAAATAATTTAATTCATTTGTGAAGTCCTGAAAGTTTCATTACAATCCAACAATTATTTCCAAATCAACATTTTTCACTAAAAAAGACATTAAAATTTCATAATCTTTGATTCCACATTGGCACAAGAAAAACAAAATTTTAGCCAAAATTTTGAACATTCTAAAAAGGATCAAAAAATATAATTTAATAATCAAAACATTGTTTGGTTTTTCCTCTTAATAATAACGCAAAGATTTTTATGATAAAACTTTGTTTTATTAAATTTATGGTCATTTTTTAGCGAATCTGTGGAGGTACCTATATATATAAGTTTTCTATCAAATTCAACATTTATTTCTACTAATGTGACTAATCTCTTGGCAATTGCCTTTGCATTAATTGATTGATTGATTTATTTGTTTTTTACGGCTTATCAACCTTTTGTAGATTATTTAAAGTCAGAAAATATTTTTTGATTGTAAGAACTTTGTTTGGATATAATAATAGTCTATTGATACAAATCCTACTAATTAACATGTAGCTGGGAGTGGGGGAGAGAAAAAGTGGATTCATACCTTTCCCAAGAGTATTTGTGCAACTAGAATTGGAACTTGTCTCACCAGCTTCTAATTCTAAGCTGTTATTCATTACACCAACTACACATCCATGTTTACAGCACCTGCTATTCCCAAGCAGTCACCTATCAAGGTACTGACCAAGCTCAATGCTGCTTAACTTCTTAAGACTGAAGGACAAGACCAGGTTACACTTTTAGATTTTAAGAACTTTGGATATAATAATGGTTTACTGATAAGGAAAAGACCAGGCTACACAATTCTGTACTTAGATCTCAGTATCTTTATCATGTAGACAAAATACTGAATATGTAATTATTAGGGGGCGGGGGTAATTAGTTTTGTACATCCTGCCAACCCTTTTTTGTTTTCTTCCTCAAAATCCTGATATAAGTGAGGTGGTATCTTTAGAAATTCATTAGGAGTTAAAGTTTATTTTTACAACATAGAGCGTTGGTATATCTAATAATCATGAAATCAATAAAGATAGTGATATTTTCTCAAAACTTGAACTTATTCATAAATTTATAAACTGCATCTAGAGATTATATACAAGTTATGAATTGGTATAAAAAGTTGCGTCTTTAATGTTAAAAAGTCCAATTATGATGTTGTTTAGATTCTAATCAGATATTATTAACTTAGATATATAGGATAGAGACAACTATTGTTTTTGGCTGGTCATTAAAAAATTTTACTAAGTTAACAAAAAAACAGACTAATTTGACTGTCAGTAGTTTATTTGCAACTATTTATTTTGATACTTTTACATTATTATACCTTGTAAAACTAATGTAAAAATAATATGAAAATATTTTAGAACAAATTTGTCAATTTTTTAAAGGAAAAACAACAAAAAAATACATTTTATTTTAAAAATAAAAGATATATTAACAAAAAATAATAAGAACTCCTAAAATTGATTGCACAAACATCTTTTCTTGAGGAAACTCTTAGCAGCCTATTGTCAACATCTGGTGTTAGATTTGCAATAAAAGTGGCTGGATATTGTTTGTTTTTTAACTTTAAGGTTCAAAGAGGACAACTTGATGTTGAATTGCCTTCATTAGAATAAATATCTCTCTTGAGGATGCTATAGGGTTCTCAATGGGATTCAAGTCACAGCTATTTGAAACACAGTCCACCCAAGAATCTTCAACAAGTTCATTTTTCTTTCAACCAGGATTTAGTAAAGTTTTGATGCATGACTTGTGCATTGTCTTTATAAAGATCATAGATTATGCTATTAAAATTGGTTTTCAAGCCATTCAATGAAATATTGCTCTAGAAAATCACAGTAACTTTTGGAATTCATCTTAACCCCGTCTTTCAGTTTAAATGGACCCACAAACTCATTACCAATAATCCCAGCCCATATCATGATCCCACCGATGCCTTGTTGGCATTTTTAAAAATTTTCTTGAGTCATGTTGCTTGTAAACCCATCCTCGAGCCCATCCATCAGGCTCATCAAGGGTGATCCTTGATTCGTCTGTAAAAAGCACTTTACTGAAATCAGTTTTCATGTAATTTTTTGCCTGCAATCTTCTTTCCTTATGTTTTTTTTTTTGTTAAAATGGGTTTCTTTATTTGATTTTTTACATCAGCACACTTTCTTAATGCTTTACACCTTGTTTTCCTTGACACCATAGGAGCTCCAGCGGCCTCAAATATGAACGTACTTGACGCATTTGGGCTTCTTATTAATTCTCTTCAGATATATGATAGATCTCGCTTTGAATTCCTGAATTCAGCCTGAAACTTTTTTTTCCTTGGTTGAATTCCCATTTGACATATTTTCTTGATTGTTCGATGATCCCTTTTCAAATCCTTAGAAATTTGAAGCGAAGACTTTCCTTTGCTAATTTCTTTGATTATATAGTTCTTTTCGTTTATTATTAGTTCTTTTTTAAGAGCCATAATACTAAATTCTAGTTCTTGCAAATAAACTCTTGACACTGCAAATTGCTATAATTACTGAAAAAATACTAAATATCAATCTGAAATTAAAAATTGGGCCTTAATTGCTTTCATGCTTACCGGCTATACTTAATAGTACAAATTATTTCATTGGACCAACACATATCTATGAATTTTACATAAAATATTTGACAATACCTCTTTTGCATATAATCTCTAGATGCAGTTTAATTAGGTCTGTCCTGGGTATGACGGTAAACTACATCCAGCAGCAAGGCTTCTGATTTTGGATTTAAGGTGCATGGAACCACCACTTAATTGCTTTTGTACTAAGTCCCCACTGACCTAGGGTGGTAAACCCTGTTAGGGTACCAGCTATGGGGAAATAGTTAACCCCAAACTGAGGTCAAAACACTATGAAAGTATAAAAAGTTTTATAGTAAAAATACCAGTAATACATTTTCATAGTAAAAAAAATTAACGGCAATATGTTTTTGTAAAAATAAAATTAAAAAAGTAAATAAATAAATATTACCAGCAATACATTTTTGTAAGGAAAAAATGTACCAATTTGTACAAACAAATACAGAAATAAATTTTATATTGTAGAAAATGTTATTTTTTATTCAAAGGTTTTTATATTGAAATAATTCTAAGAGACTGGATTGGAAATTATAAACAATTGAATGACTTCTATAATTATATCCCATGGTAAGTAAAATCTAGTTTTGTAAATCCCAACCAAATCTGTTACATGGACCAATATTTTGCCATTAGTTATTTTTTTTCTTTTTTTACATAATTCTTTACTTATTTCTTTCATTTACATTTGGACTATTATCCTCAATCTTTGTGGTTATATCACCATATCTCAGCCATTATGCCCTCTGTCTTTCTTTAGGTATTTGTTAATCCAGGTAATCTTCAGGGAATTAAACCCTGAACTTAATCTGCAGTAAAGGAGAGAGAGAGAGAGAGAGAAACTTCCAAATTCTAGCAGCTTCAGATTTGCATGTTCAGTAAGAGGCCAAAATTCTCAATGAAAATATTTGGTGGAAGAAACTCCTTTTATGAGTAACCTGTCACTCTCTTTCTGTGTGATACTATGGACATCCACAAAGAAAGAGGAAAAGGTAGTTTTATTTTGATCTCAAGTGTTTCTCTTTGATAGACCAGCAGATAGTTCCTTTTAATGTTCAGTCTTCTAAGTAGTATCCACTTTGACCAAAGAGTAATACAGAAGTAAAATGGTGTACAAGGGGTTATCGGTCATCTCCTGGAAGGAAATGGATGTGTTCGTGCTGATATTTCAATGTCCCCATTTTGTATTGCCAGCCACTATATGAGGAATTGGTAAGACGAAGATCTGATATTGCAGAAGTTGTCTCAAGTATCATCTACCTATCCACCCAGATGTACAGGTGACACCCTGAATAAAACACCTATATAATATGGGAATTTTCTTATTTCATGATATGGTGTTTGTCTTCACCCTGTGAATATGTAACACAATCTTCCCTAATGAACACCAACAAGATGAAAAATTGGAATGCAATGTAGAGTAATCATTGGCTAGTTAGTAGATAGCTAGGGTGAGGGTCATGTTTTATGTTAACCCTAACCCTGCCACTTTCTTCTTTTTCTCTTTTGTGATGCCAATCTTTCTGAGTCAGAATTTGCAGCATGACACTTAAGTGTGACTATCAGCTGACTCTATATAATATATTTATTTATCTTAACCTCCAGTGAGGATTTCACACTTTGGTAATTCTACTTGGATATCTATCTATCATGTTTCAGAAACATGACAAATCTCCAACATCATTTAGTGCAGACAGTTAGGAATATGTACTTGGACAGCTGGTTTGAAGAGAATGAATGAAATATTACAAATGAGAACTCTCTAGGCTGGTTCAAGGGTCTCGTGTTCCTCCATAATCCCAAATTTATGATACGCCCCCCCTTCCAATCTATGATACATAGTCCTCCACTCTACTACATCTCAATTTTTATAAGGTTGTATTTATGTAAAATACTAATTTTTATTTAATTATGTTGTAATTTAATTATGTATAATAATGGATCGTATGCAATATAGGTAAAATATTCAATGATAAAAATTGAAAATAAATACATTATACGATGTATTTACATACAAATTAGAGACATGTCATAATAGCTCATTCCATCTTAAATAAATCAATAATAATCTTGAGACTTTTATTTTTGAATAATTTTAACACATTATGGATGAAAAATAGTCAATTTTATATTATGTTGTTTCAAGACTTAGCATGAGCAAAAAAATTCAGATTTGACAAAAAAGACACCAGAATGGCTTAAAAAATCAGCTAAAATTTTTCTTCCTTTACTAGTCAGTTGTGCTTAGTTTAATTTGTGACATATATAAATGTTGGTAAAAAAGAAAAGCAAATGATGGTAAGATATCAAAGGTCACAAAGCACTGTCCAGAGCCCCCAATCAGGTTTGGGAACTCCATCCTCAGTCAGGAGGTTTGGGTGATGTACACACTGGCCTTGAGAACTTTCACAGTCATTTATTAAACAATTGCTAAAGATTGCTTTTGTTGTTGAAATAGCAGAATTAAAAACATGCAAAAGGCATAAAGTTTCTACTGGTCTCTAGGAAAGTACTCTATTACTCTTGAAAAGGAAAAGTACTCTATTACTCTTGAAAAGGAAAAATAAGATGGGTCATAAATGACATGAAGACCTGAAGAAAATGTGACAAAAATTTTACTTCAAAGAGAAGAAAAACATGTCATTAATTGGATGACAGATATCAAAGCTGTAAATACTAAAAATAAAGTTTGTGATAAAGCTGATATTGACCTTGAAAGACGCAGTTAGTACAAAGATGAGCATGCTGGGATTGCCTAACAACCAGGGATTAATAAACAACTGAGGCATTATAGAAATGTTGCTTTCACAGATAAATATATCTGTTTCCAGTTAAAACATTCCATTATCAACTAAGAAAAGAGGCTCCAGTTTACTAAAGCCAACAGCAAGAGACTGGACAAATTTGAACTGAAAAACATTCTAGCAGTTTCACAACTGCATAAGTTGTATACATTCGAACAGAACAAAATCATTGTCTCTTTTAAAGAGTTATTTGAATTCTTATACAGACCAGTTAATCTTCCATCTCACACTATAGGAGAGCAACTATAAATTTAGTAACCCAGGAATTCTTGGGCATGCTGGCAATTGTGGATGAAATTTTCAACCAATTATTAGATGTCTCCCCTAAATATAGGGACCTCCAAAAAAATGTGATACTTAAGGTTTAAAATGAATTTTTAAAAATTAAAATCTTTCATGAAGCTTTTATTTTAGTTTTAATTTCAAGCTAATAGATTAAATTTAATATTTCCAATAAGCAAAATACTTTGTTGTATTTTTAAAACCAATTTAAATTGGGAGTTTCACAAACAAGTAGAAACTGTTAGCACTGACAATTGCATCTAAGCATTTCAGCTGTCCATTGGGTATTGAGCTTAAATTTATAAAGTCTAAATACCATAGAGGAAAGTTTATCCGAACAATTACCTAAAAGTATTTTTAGAAAAGGCACAAAGAAGCTACCTTATGGCAGTAAAAAGTGACTGAAGCCAAGATTTCAGATCAAGATCAATAACATTGCAGATTCTTCTTTGAGTTTTATGAAGAATCTCTAAATACATAGCAGAAGTACAAGACCAGATGTGTGTTAACTCTTTTAAAAATTGCAGAATATATCATAATCATCAGTTTTTATATGAACATTTCTCCTATTATAAATACAGTGACGTTCCTATATCTCGACTACATTGAAATATACTTGATTAACCCTAGTCTCAGATACAAATTATGAAACATACTATAATGAGGTAATTAGATGATCTTGTTAGTTTTTCTACATCAAAAATTTTTTCCAAAAGATTGAAACAAGTTTAATGATATTAATATAATTATCCTGTGTAATATTTTGTATTTTCTTTCTTTAAGGAAAAATCAAGTCAAAAAGATTAATAATCTATCAAAAATTTGTGAATTTTTAACTTTTAGGCTCATAAAAAATGAATTGTCAAAAGAACATTTTTTTGTATATCACTGCTATTATTTTAACTACCTTCACTCATCAGTAATGTTTATTGTTTTAAAAAGCATTGATTAGAATTGTAATAAAACCTAAACGTATGATGAAAGTAAATTTCTACATGTTCTTTGTTCTTGATAAATGACAACAAAAATAATAAACAATTTATTCTATATTCATGTTTACAGGTTATTTCCTAATAGAATGCCTGGAAAGAACCCTCAAGCTCCACTGCTTACTGATGAAGACGTTGAAGTAAGTAACCATGAACAGTTTGTTTGAAGGAAGTTGAGGAAACATTATGTAAAGTTGGAGTTAACTGACATCTCTTTGCCCCAGGTCAATTAGTCCAGGGAATTCAAATAAGGAGAGTTCCATGATGTTTTGGTACTTAATTGTGAAAATTTTCAGCTAGGCATTTCTGGGTCATATCAACCATGTGATAGTGAACAGTCCTGTTAGAACAAACACAGCCTCCTCTACTCTGATGTAGGTATTGGTATTGAGGCTCTGGGAAGAAGTGGGGTGGCATCACATGGTTCTCATTGTTCACAACCCCTGGGACCATCAAAGATGATATGTATTTTGTGTGCATCACTGTAGATACCTCCATGGGGTCCATGTTGGGCCACTCGCCATTTTTGCCTGTTCATGATCTATTTCTGGTTGATGTTCTCCTTGTTGGAAAAATATGAGAAGATGCCTGGCTCCTCAGTGTGCTTGCTGTTTTGGTTGGATTCATGATAATCTATACTACAGGCCAACTCATGGTGTAATTAAGGGTCAGAACTGAAGGCTTATTTCAAAATCTCCTATTTCCACTTATTTTCAGTTTGATTTTGCAATTGTTGCTCTAGACAGCTTAATAAATCCAAAGAAATCTTTGCTTTTAAACTTTGAATAACTTTAGCTTATTTAATTGTAAGTAAGTATAAGATTTTATTATTTTATTTCCATTGGACTTGCTATATTATTTTATGTTTATTGCAAAAACAAACATTTTGTGCATGAAATTCTCTAAAAAATGTAATTTATGAATCTTGTTTTTTTCACTTTGAATTTTATTTAATATTTTTCATTTAAAATTAATTCAAATTTTTTCACTTAAATTTAACTTAATAATTTTTCTCTATAAAAGTTTTCTTCAAAATAACAAATATATGAATGATAAACTTCATCTTTATTGCGTAATATGTATTTGTGTTTCTAACAGTTAAGAAAGTATGTTGAATTTTTACTACCTTTCCTTTGTATGAATCTGTAGTTACATCAGCAGAAACATCACTTTAGTCCAGTGAAGTCCTAAAAGATGAAACCCGTTAAATGAAAATTTTTTTCCACTTTGTAATTGTTTTTCCTAAAATTGTTCTTATATATTAAAATTTATATATGTTTCCATATTTATATATATATATATATATATATATATATATATATATATATATATATATTAATAATAGTAGTGGATGTAAACATAAGTGAGGAAAAAAAATGTATATATTTTATTATATATATATATATATATATATATATATAGGGTGTCCATAAAGTTCGTGTGCACTTTAAAAAATTTATAACTTTACGATAGAAATAATTTATAAAAAGAATTAGAAAAAGTAAATCTATATTTTTTAAGGTTTTATTGAAATTTTTTTTAACTTTCCACATGTCCTCCATCATTAGCAAATACAAAGGGTAATACGATTTTGCAGTTCATGGAAAACATTTGCCAACTGATTTACAGTAATGCCTGAAATCACATTAGTTATTTTAGCTGTACATTAAACTTTATAACATTTTTTACAGTTTATTTCTATCGCAAATATAAATAAAGTTATAAATTTTTTTAAAGTGTACATGAACTTTATGGACATTCTGTATATATATATATATATATATATATATATATATATAGTTTATGAAAAACTAAGTAATCGATATGGGTAAACCTAAGGAGGATAAAGGGTTGTTTGGAAGTAAAGTCTGATGATCTGCAGTTCTTTTTAAAAGGGCTGTGGTGAAATAATTTATTACATGGAATATATGGTATATATATATATATATATATACAAAATGAGAGAGAGATAAATTTACTAATTTATTCTTTCAGCAAATCTGCAGTTCACCTGAATTGAAAAAATGTGTTATGAAAGCTTTTGTAATGATGCTTGACTTTTTTGGAATGAAGCTGATGGAAGATTCCCGAACATTTGCTCTGACTGACAACTACGTTGAACAATTTAAGACAATAGCTTCGTAAGTAATGATTGTAATCTCATATTTATTTATATATGATGCCAACCCCCGGGAGAGGAACACTTTACATCTCCTCAGTTTCATGTTTCCCAGTGACATGATGTGGAACAATTATATTGAATCAGTTTCTAAGTCCAATGCAAAAAAATTTGGTTCAGTGTAGCACCAGAAAATCTTTCTCACCAGAATGCAAATTGCATATTTAACTCTACCATTTTTCCATACATTGAATATTGCTGCTACATCTGATCTAATACTCCTGTTATATATCTTGAGATATTGACAAAATCCAAAGAAGAATCTGCAATATTATTGGTCCTGACCTAGCATCTTGGTTTCAGTCACTTTCCTCCCACTGCTGTAATGTAGCTGCCCTGTGCTTTTTCTGTAAATATTTTCATGGTAATTGTCCTGATGAGATTTCCTCTTTTATACCTCAACTTTAGGAATTTAAATGCAATACTAGATTGGCAGTTAGGTTTCATCATTTTAATGCTGTAACCATAAGTTCTTTTCTAACAGTTTCTTCTTTCACACTTGTCTCATTTTCTTTCACTTCAACTAACCCCTGGCATTCTAGTGGTGTTATCACCTTGCTTGGGGAGAATGATTAAAACAAAAATTAATTCTTGACAAAGAATTGCTTCACACTTATGGAAAGGGGGAATATATAAATTAATTTGGAAAAACTGATCCAGTCTTATCAGAAAAAGAATTTCTTTGCACAAGAACATAATCTACATGAGCTAGTACTTTAACTGTATCCTTATAGAAAATAGTATGGACACATAACCTAATGATTAAAACTCAACCATAAGACCTGGGTTTGAATCTCACCATGGCTAATTTGTCAGGAAGAAGATTTCTTGATGTTATCAGCCTGGGGAGGCAATCTCAGTATGTGGTACCTTTGGAAAGTGCCTGAAAACACATACCACAGGTTGACCCAAGTCTTCTGAGTTAAAGTGGGTAGACAGAACTATTTGGAAGCCATCGATGGTTGTACTAGTATGAAGTCACAAGTCATTGTGACCAAGGGTTTGAGTGTACTGGCTAAGTTGCAGTATAATATAAACTACAGGTAGGCTCTGCGGGTGTTGAATAAACACAAATATGTGTCTTTCAAAGATTGGTTAGACATTCTAGTAGACAAGCATATTTGGATACAAGCTGTCATCAATTATTGAAATTAGGTTTTAAGTAATTTCAACTTATGTCTTTTTTAAAATTATTTATAGTTTAAATATCCTTCATTATTTTAGTACTAATTTAGTAATAAAAGTGAAAAAATTGACATACCCCAGTTGAAAATCATCCCAAAGGTGCTTTATAGGGATGAGATCTGGTGACTTTAACATGAAAACTCCTTGCTACATTTCATAAACCAATCTACTACTATTTTTCATTTGTGGCTCACAGCATAGTCCTGCTGGAAGTAACCACTAAAGGATGTGTGTACCATAGTTGTCAATTGAGGCTTGTAGTCAGTCACACTAACTAGGTATGCTGTGACATTTAAACAATTTTTTATTGGTACCAATGCTCCCAATGTATGCCAAGAAAATATAAAGAAAAGCACTTTTGGGATGATGTTTTTATTTATTTTTAATATTGCACAGTTGTGGCTTGCTAATTTCCACTGAGTCCAAATGCACTTTGCCTGGCCTAGGGATTGAACTCACAATTACTATGTCACCAAATTCATTGAGATACTAAATAATTCTATGTGGTTTCTTTATTTTTGGCACAAAATTATTTCTCTTAACACTGGAATCTTTGAGCCTCATGATGAGGTTTTATACTTGAAGAATGTTATTGTTAATTGTCTCTATACTGGGCCAGGCAGAGTGTAGTTGGATTCAGTTGAAATGAATAAGTAATAACTGAGCAAGACTAAAAATAACAACTAGACAAGATATCAAGGATTCAGTCTTGAATTCCCAGTAGATTACCTAGATCAATATATACCTGTGAAAGTCCAGAGTATACAACAGATGAAACACTGTGATAATGACAATAAGGATGAGGACAATAGTCTGAATATAAGTAGTATAAATAACGATAACACCTCATCCCAGAAATTCAGACAGAAATTACCAGTTCTGATGTTGAGCTCTTATATTTTAATAATTTTATTGTTATTTATTCCTATCCTGAGCCTGGCAGTGTTTAGTTGGATTTAGTGGAAATGAATGAGCAATAATTGAGCTATATTAAATATAAGAGCAAGATAAGATATCCCTAGACATGGGCAGTGGAGTGAGAACAATCTACCCTCGTAGATTAATTAAAGGGTTCAGTTTAGAATTCCCTATAGGTTATCCAGATTGATATACATCTGAGGAAATTGGCATTTCTCATGTTGCACTCTTATATTTGAAGAATCTTACCATAAATTATTTCTATCCTTAATATCTTCATGGATTTGAATATGTCAGATGATCAAATAATAGTCAAGTCCTAAATGTACAATTGCATATATATATATATATATATATATATATATATATATATATATATATATATATATAAGCATGTTAACCAGTTGGGAGTCCTCTTGGGGCTGGTATCCTGTGCAACCTTGACAATAATTTGGGGTAGTGGAAGCATCTTTCTAACCAAGTTTGAAAGATGATGCAGCCAAAGCAACTTGGGAATCATACATAGGTACATGGCAAAAGAGGGTCCAAGCCATTATTGGAAGAGTTTACCCAATAAGTGATCTAGCCCCATAGATTAATTAAAGGATTCAGTTTAGAATTTCCTATAGGTTATCCAGGTTGATATACGTCTAAGGAAATTGGCATTTCTCATGTTGCACTCTTATATTTGAAGAATCTTACCATAAATTATTTCTATCCTTAATATCTTCATGTTAGATGATCAAATAATAGTCAAGTCCTAAATGTACAATGCACATATATATATATATATATATATATATATATATATATATATATATAAAAGCATGTTAACCAGTTGGGCGTCCCCTTGGGGCTGGTATCCTGTGCAAACTTGTCAATCATTTGGGGTAGTGGAAGCATCATTCCAGGTGTTGAATTTTTTTTTTCTAAGTTTTTGGGAATAATACATAGATACATGGCAAAAGAAGGTCCAAGCCATTATTGGAAGAGTTTACCCAATAAGTGATCTATGATTCTATACAATTACATTGTTTAAAATTTGCTATATTTATGAAGGAAGAGTATTAACAGCATTTGCAGATATAGACATTCTGGATTCAGAACTCAACACTGCATTGTGACTGTCAGTTTCACACCTCATCTAATGCTGAAACCATTTCTGAAGGTTACTTGAGATGTGAAACTGACAGTCACCATGCAGTGTTGGTTTCTGTGTCTACTCTGTTTATATATTAGAGTCTTACAAAATTAAGTTTTACCACAAATGATATAAAAATTAATGTAAGTTAATTTTATTTAAATATTATTTATCAGAAATGTAATCATCTTCATTTTCTATGACTGATTCCCAAATTTTCAGTTCCACATTTAAAGACATCTCTCCATTAAAAAAAAGAAGTTTGAAAGACTGTTTTCAACTTCTTTGTTTCTGTAATTGTTAAATCTGGTGAGTTTGGATGATGTGGAAGAACTTACTATCCTAATGATCTTTTTGCAGTGTGTGCCAGACATGCTGGAAAATAACACCATTTTTTATTTACCAAAGCAGGACATTTTCAGCATAATACTTCATTTACTCACTTAAGTTGGTAGCAGTAAAAATCTGAAATGATGGTCCTTCCATGTTCCAGTAGCTTTTAATTGACAATAACTTTCATTTCATATTCCACCAGACACAAAATAAGGATTCCTGTTGAATGAATCCAGATTTTGATGTTGGCACTGTTTCTCATTTTCTGATAATCACTATCTTTTTTTTGTTTTCTTTTGACATGCAAAACCCATTTTTCATCACCTGTAATAATGTTCAACAAAAATTGAAAAATTGGCATTTTGGATTAAAAGACTGCTTTAAAATGATGGAATGTTGTGTTTAGTTCACAAGTGAAAGCTTGTGAGGAATGCAAATTTCTACTTTGCAAGTTTTTCCCCAATTTACTGGGGCTGATCGTAGACAGTTGAATATGACACATAAAAGATTTTGTCAGATCTCTGGTGCTTTGATAAGGATCTAATTCAGTAGTTTCTTTCAAAAGTTTTTCTTTTAGAATGGCTGATCTTCAAGAATGACACTTGTCAGTTAGGTCACAATCATATCTACCAGGTTTGAGTCTTACCAGCATCTGTATTCAGTGTTGAAATATTTATGGATGCCTTTGTAGAAGTATTACCCTTTTGGGAATTCCTTGCAATAAGCAAAGATGAATATGTTACTTTAAAAATGTATAATCTATGATAGGGTTAAACTTTTAAATGCTCTAAGCAAGACATTATTGGTTAGAATTGATGTTAAACTAATTCTAGACACATTTTTGTAACCTTCATTTTACCTTGATTGGTTGACTCCTAATTCACAACAGTGAAATATATAAATACCCCCTGAACATCTTAATGTACACACACACACACACACACATGACTGAACTAAGAACTTTTCAGCAAATTCTTATATATTTATTTTATAGTTAATCTTTTTCATTTAAGCATTCCATTTGTTTTTATTGAATTTCCTTTGTTTCTTTTATTTGCAGGTCTGACAAATGTATGGTAATTACGAGGATTCTTCATTTCCTTAGAGAAATCAATGAAGAGCAGTTAATGGTAGAATGGCTGAAATTCTTTGCTGATCTTATCAAGCAGAACAAAATACTCGATAGCTTAAAATACAGCTTCAATAATTTTTGGATAAACACTCTGAGTAATCAGTATAAAGAAAAAATCAAAAATTATATTAAAAGTATAAACAAATAATTGATTTCAGTGAAGACTTAATCTATTGGCTGTCTGTATTAAATTCTTGTCAGTTTGACTGGGAGTTATAAAACAAGTTTTATTGAGTAATGTCTCCTTGCTATTTGAGTTTATCCTCTTTTTACATATGAATAATTCTCTCTCTTTTTGGAGTTTTTCTGCTTTTTATGGACAAACAATTCTCCCTGCCTTTTGATTTTATCCTGAAGTTTCCATATTATTTGATTCCATGCTGTTCACTTATAAGTTTCCCTGTTAGTTGACTCCACCCTTTTTACTTGGAATATGTTTATAAACAAGACAATCACGCATACAAAGTGATTAATTTTATATAAAATAAAGAATTCTACAATTTTTATATTATTTTATATTCACTTTATGGAGTAATACATCTCCCTGCTATTTGATTTCATTCTTTTCATGAAGGAATAAGTCTGTATCTGTCTATATTTCTGAGATGAGGTATTATGTGAACTATTTACATTATTCGGACTATTGTTCTCATCTTTGTTGGCATATTTATTACAATGTTTTGGCCGTTGTATGTTCCAGCCTTCTTCAGGTGGTTGGAATGTCGAATTGAACCCTTTATTTCACTCACTGAGGTTGACTGTTCTAGTTCCATGTGCCATGTTTTTAATGGATGTCAGTTGTCAATTATCTCCTGTTAATTCCCCTCTCAAAGTTCTCCACTGCCTTAACCGGGTATTGAAGAGAACTTCGAGAGAGGAATTAACAGGAGATAATTGACAACTGACATCCATTAAAAACATGGCACGTGGAACTAGAACAGTCTACCCCAGTAAATAGTGAGGAATCAGTCTTTCTGCTATTTGATTTCATTCTCTTTTCATGAAGGAATAAATCTCCTGTTATTTCATTCCACCCTCATCATTTGGAGAAGTTTCCCTGTTTTTTGACTCCACCCTCTTGGAAGATTCTTATAAAGACAATCCCAACTATAAAGGGATTAGTATTATAGAAAATAAAAGAATTCTGCCACAATTTTTATCACATTTTTGAAAATATTTTTTCTTTGAGCTTTTACTTCTTTTTTAACTTGTCATCAATCCTTCTCTGCTTATTGCTTCTTGTAGTGCATTTTGATAATAAATTCTTACTAATAAATAATTGTCCTTTTACACTTATACATCTTTATATTTTATACATCTTTTAACACATGGACTGTACCAGACACAAAGAAAAATGACAACTAGACACACGCATGTACATTATTACCTAAATCCTGCTAGAAACATGATACACAGTCATTCAGGCATGCTGACATTCCATTACCTTCTTCAAGTATTATACACTAAATTTAAATAAAATTGCTCACTGAAATCCATATGCATACACGTGCACAGATGACAAAGACACAGTGGAAAACAAACAATACAGTACTAAATGTACCGATACTTTCTCTTCCAGAATTTATTTAAAAAAAAATTCTGGTGATGATTAAATAAAAGAAAAATGTTAAATTTATAAACGTTTCCCCTTTGTTCCTTATTCTATTACATGTTTTTATGTTTTCTATATTTTCTTTTCATTTATTAAAAGAATTTTCAATGTTATTCTTATTATTGTGAATTGCAGTTCAGTTGGATTTGTGTATATGATGGATGAATTGTGACTTGAGGCAAGATCTACTTAAGAATGGGGAAAGATAAGTGAGTGGCCTTTGATATATTGAGAACAATATGCAAGCCCTACCAACTCTACACCTCCTCTAAGTTGCTTCTCTTGCCCACAAAGAGATGATCATCTCACATCCTCTGTATTGGCAATACAAAAATTTTATATTAACATATTTTTGGCCACAAATTTTCTGAATGTCACATGTTTGCTTTTCTTCATAGACATGGCATGTATACTGTGTTGGATGTTACTATAAAGAAGAGTTTCTGTTCATTGAGGTTTATAAATCCAATAACAGCAGGATAGAATCTATCTATACATATATATATATATATATATATATATATATATATATATATATATAATGGATATCATCATGGTAGACAATCCAGCATAACCCACTGTTGATTTAAGATCTTAGCCAAAATCTTCAACTTTGTATTTAACATCTCAAGGGAGCATACACGTGTAACAACCTCAAATACAATTCATAAGCATGGTTCAATGCTTCCTGGATTCCTTCTTCTGAAATGGGACCCTTGCTCCTAAATGTTTCATGTGCCTCAATGTGATAAAAATCAGATAAAGAAAGTGATTTTGTGGTATATTTGATCCAATTTAGACGAAGAGACTGTTAGGAGTGATACTTATATATATTTGTATATTAAATTTTATCAAGAACTATCACCAGCCCTGACATGGTTGACAAAATCTGAAAGGAATATTTAAAGAGATTAGAACCAACATGGATATAGGTAAACCATATTTGGTGCAGTCTTCAAGATATGTTAACCAAGTTTCCGAACCATTAATCCTTTGTTGAATTGTCAGAACTTCCACTCCCATATACCAAACTATTTAAACTTGGCAGAACCCTGTTTAGACTGTTTTAATGTTCATAGGTATATCGGAAGTTATGTTGCCATCATCATTTCAAAGATGGCGTAGAGATGCCAAATACTGAAATCTATCAGCATACTTTATGGTTATATTTTCCCAGCCGAATGTGTGCAAAAAATGATGATAATGACAGATTTTGAAAAGGAGAAGCCAAGAAAGCCTTATCTACTTTGTGTGTGTACTTGGATGCTTATTTTCTTAATTTCCTTTAACATTGTTACAAGTACTTGTGTCAGTTTATGTAGAAATTAGAGTGTATGAGATAGTGACATTTATCTTGGGGTTGAGCTTGTAGAGATGTTGTTTTTTTCTAAGTGACTTCAGTTGTGAATATGACCTGTACAAGATATTTGGCATCTGATTTGGTCCTGACATCCAGCTAGAGAAGAATTGGTCAAAATTATTGCAAAATGCTGATGCGGCAGTTATTCACTACACTCTAAGGAATCTTTTCTTGAAGAGTAGTGTCATCGTACTTGCTTCACACATCTATTCCTCTCTCATCTGTTAATAATTATCTATTTTTACCGCCATATACTAAACTAGATCATCTAGAGAGAACCCTATTTAGACTTTTTAAAATCAAAGGTATTATAAACGTGTGTATAGTGGCACTAGAGAACAAACAAAAAATGTATCATTGGTGAGGTGAAAAGAAAAGACAAGAATTGTTAAGATAAAATTCTTTGTATTGCCAATACAGAGAATCAAGTCAGAACTTTTATTGTCTAGACCAGTGATCACCAACTGGTGGTCCATGCAAAATTTTTGATGGTCCACAGAAAAATTGGGACATTATTTCAATTTTTATGAAGGTTCAGATTCAAAAAGGACTTGTAACAAAACATTATGGATGTTATATATGTTCAAGCCCTTATGTAATCTTGAAATAAACACTAGTACACAAATGTGATATCATCCAGCCGTAGCATAACCTAATACAACTTGCAAACTTCAAATTTTCAATTTGTTTTATTTAAATAATTATACTACAACTTTGTTACCTTTTAATGGTTGCATTTTATGTTAATAAAATAAAAGTTTTTCTGATTATTATTATATAAATGTATTTACCTTTTTTTTCTAAATTCATATTAGTGGTCCAGCAAATTTAAAATTATACAAAGTTCTAACCAACGCCTCAAGGACACATGACACAGTGGATAAAGGCGTTGGTTAGATCCAGTGACAGGATCCAAAGTGTGAGTTCAATACCCGGTTCAGGCAGTGGAGAACTTGGAGAGGGGAGTTAACAGGAGATAACTGATAACTCTACTAAATTAATGCCTAAAAAATCACTTCATTAACCAAAAATTGGGAACATTTTACATGATACTGTAGAACTAATAAGTCAATTTGTTTATACTAATTGAACACACACATGGAAAATATTGTATAATACAATCAGAAAGTGAGTTCAACATAATGAGGGTTAAATAATATCATATTACCTGATTATAGGTGAACTGTGGAAGAAAGGTTTATTTTTCCCATTATAGGCATTATTATATCCATGATATAATAATTCTTTATTTCATGGACAGAATGGAATAGATGAAAGGAAAGGAATGGCAAACATGCTTTGTTCTCAGAGAGAGATTTATACCACTAAATCATACATAAAATTATATTCACATATTTACATTTATCTAATGCAGAGAAAATATAATACATATATGCAACAACAAGAAGTGTGAAGAGAAAACAAAAAGATAGTATCTTTTTTATAATAATACCCTGTTTCCAAAGAAGCCATATTTAGTATTCCATATTTAAGTGGGCCAGATTCATCTGCTATGTCACTAGTAAGGACATAGCAAAGCAGATTTAGCCTCAGTCTGGGTCATCACATTACCCATGTATCTTCATCTCCACCAAAGGTAGATAATCACCTTTTGTATCCCTGCAAGCATATTGGCAAATCATACTTAATGAAAAACATAATGAATCTCAGACAAACAATAATTTTGATGAATTTTGTAAATATTATTGTAATTTTTATCATGTTCAAGAGATTTTCTTTGTTTTACAGAAGATGAATTAAATACATTTTTCACAAAAATAGATATCACCAATATACATGTGACATTAGCAAATGGAACGAAAAGGGTTAAAATTAAAATATAACTTGGAACAAGATGAAAAGAGTTAAAAAAAATGGAATGATAGACAAACTGAGAGAAAGAGTGAAATTGCTTTTAATTTTGAAAATCTATTTTTTAATTTTTTTTTTTTTTTTGAAGAAAGTAACTTTGTTGTTTTGGGGAAAGATATTACAACAGAGGTCAACTGAAAAAAGCCAAGCTAATAATTGACTGATGGTGCTGCCTTAAAGTGGAAGTTGTGAAAGCATTTCCTAGGGATCAGCCAGAAAAGAAAGCCATTTGATAAAATAATATTTGGTAATTTTTAAAGACAAGTTGAGAAATAGAATTTCTTTATGTAAAGACCCAGGTTCTTAAAGTATGATAACTCAAACAAGATATGGAGATAACTGACTGGAGGAAACAGCTGGTAAATTTTTGATTGTATGAACAAGACCAGGCTGGGAAAAATTTCAAAATTCAAATGATTATTCTATTTAAGAACCAGAGGCTACACCCAACTCTTTGGCTACATGGTTTAAGAATCAGATTCATCAAAATGACAACTGAAGTGAAGGGTGTAGAGGTTTCCCCTATCTTCCAACAAGTTTTCTTTGTTATCTGGCTTTAGAAAATTATCTCTCCAAATTTGGGAGATCCCTTTTCCTATGGGCAGTGGTCACAAATACTGACCCACCCCAATAACTCATTCTTTCTCTTATTTGTGCCTCGCACTATCACTTCTCAGTGAGGCAATTCCTTCATCCGATTTGTCATTTCTCTCACGCCTGTAGCAATGACATCCTCAACCCTCTTCCTGAATGCACTACAAGCCTTTTTTAATAAATTCTTCATCAATGTTCTCCACCCAGGTCTTATAGATGGATTTTTTAGGGCATCTCACAAACTTTTCTGGCTAGTTCATTTCAGATGCTGAAGTCTAAGGAGTTCAAATCAGGGGATGAAGGAGGCTGTGAGGAATGAGATGACTCACCTCCTGCAAATCAAATTTGCTTGGCATGTTAGGTCCTGTTGAAAGATCGCAACAGCATTAAAAGTGAAATGGATTATTCCGAAATTCCTATCTCGCATGCAGACGTAGAATGAAAAAGACTAAGAATTCAAACCAGCTTGAATTTATAAAATAGGAAGTCTCATGCAAACGAGAACTAAGTCTCATATGCAAATATTAGTTCCCCCAAATGCAGGCATAAATAGCAAATCTGTGAGGGGGATTGGCAGAACTTTTGTTGGTGTGACGTCATACAGACAGACGAATGAGAATGAGAGAAGAAGGAAGAGGTCAGTTGCTTGAAAGCAAGCACCTTAATCCATTACAGTTATCGCAAATGACTGTTGAACTAAATTAACCACAGAGGCCAAGTTTCCCTTATCCCAAAACCTGTTCGCAAACTCATCCCTGACAAAATTTTTGAGCCACTGCTCTCATGTGACAAGGAGCTCCATCCTGCTGGAATGTAAATTTGGAGGCCTTATTGATTGTGTTGGATTTTTAATTGCTCTAACCTCAGGATATTCAGAAAGAATGTAGGTCTTTACCTTTTTCAAAATTTGAACATAGCAAACTCAAACTCTCTTATCAAACATGATCAATGGCATTTTCTTGCCATCAGAGGCCATACAGGCAAAAACCATTATATCAGCAGTATTTGCACTTGAGAGTGACATTCTTATCTCACTCGTGAGGATCTGAATCCAGATGATTATTCCAGGATCATTTTCCAACTTATTCAAGATGATCTTCACTCTCACTAATTCTGGAGTAAGAACGTGCTTCACACCTTTCATGTACAATTTCATTTTTAAGTCTTTTTGTCGATACTTTTTGGACTGTAATAGCTGAAACTCCTCTCTCACATGCCAAGCATCTTATGGATTGAGTTGGATCTCTTCTAATTGAGCTCTAAGTTGATCCCTCTTCCTATTGTGACCTCCTGAACCAGTTTTCCTTTCTACTGTTCCCTCTTTTTTAAACTTATTCACTGTTCTCTTGATGGTCCATGAATGGACTTTGAAGATGAAAGCCAGAGTATAAACTGACAGGAAAAAGAATGCTGTTCTCAAGTAGAGTGTGACAAGAGATCACTCGTGCACTACATGAAAGAAAGACATGTTTATTAGACAGTTCACCCTCACTTCTGTTTCACTTGTCTGTAGCAGTAAGTTACAACCGAATAAGATTTGCTGACTGCTACAACTGTTTCCATTTGTTTATTTTGTGGGTAACAATTTGGCCAAAGAGTAATTTATTAAGCTACAAGCATTCAACTGGAAGAAGCTTCACCCTGAGATTGAACCTTGTGTCTAGGCTGCAATGATACACATTTTTATCTTATAATTAAAAAATAATAATAGATAATTTCAAAACTTTTAGTGCTGTTTTTTGAGTTGCCTTAGTAGAAGCAAACAAACAATAATTTAAAAAAAATATATTTGACAATATAATCCCATGATTTACTTTTATATTGAAACAATTCATTTCAGAAATATAGCGAGCGTATGGTTGCAAGGGAAAGAACAAATAAAGATTAAAATGTCAATAAAATGTATTAATAAAATGTCAGGAATATATTGTATGAAAGCTGTAAAAAATTATTAATATGTGCTTCTTAATTTGCCATTGGTAAGGAAAGCGATTAGGTGTAAGGGTGTTGTCAGTAAGCCTAGGAATTGACTGATTTGTTGGGTTGGTTGACTGCGGTCATGATTAGTGTCAGGAGAGAGGCATGTTTTTATTTTTTTTAAATTTCTTGTGCCATATTCGTTCTAATCTTTGTATTTATATTGTCTAATCTGTGCTTTTATTTTCTTTTGTTTATTTGTTTTCCAGTTGACACGTTCTTAGTGTCAGCAATTTTTGTTTTGTGATTAGCTCTGTGTATTTTCATTGTCTCATATTTTCTTTGTATAACGTTTTCCTTTTTCTTTGTATAGCGTTTTCGTTTTATTGTTTATTTTCGTTTTTGTGTTCTCTTTTTTAAATTTATTGTTTCGCCTCTAGGCAAACCTTGTTCTTTTGTTTCTTGTTTATTGTCTATTTTTTATTGTACGTTTAAACTTGTCTCGCCTTTAGGTGATTTTTTTTCATCTGTCTCTCATCAATTTTTATACGTCCGTCCTTTTTGTGTTTTTCTTTTTTGTTGTTTCACTTTAGGTGAACCTTGTTACTTTTGTTCTCAGCTGTCATTTAATTTTTGTTAAACTCTTTTGCGTATATTTATTTATCTGTTCCTTGTTTTTGTACATTTTTAACTTCCTGTCTCACTTTCAGGTGAGCCTTGTGTTTTCCTTTTTGCTTATTTGATTTTTTGTCTGTCACCTGTTGTTTTTATCTGTTTATTTTGTCTTGAATTTTTAGTTTCACCTATAAAAGCGGAACTTGTTAATTTTTTTTCTCCCCTTTTCACCCCTCCCCTTCCCTTTAAAAAAATGGAAAAGAAGGAAAAGAAAGTACCTTCTTTCTTAATTTTAAAAAAGAAAACTAAAATGGCTTCCTTCAGGAGATCTGTAAGAAAGCATTTTTTAAATCCAAAAAAGACCCACCTGATAAAGACAGTTTAGTACACAGAGTACAGGGCCTTTGAAGCTTCTTCCTCTTGTGAGGACATCATTGCTGGCGATTTAAATAGTATGGAGGCCAATAAAGGTCAAGAAAAATCTCAAAAATGTATGGAAGCCAATAATAGCAAAGAAAGAACAAATTCACAACAAAGTATGGAGAAAGAAAACAAAAACGTACGGTGATCAATAATGGCCAAAAATCTAACAATAACATGGAGGCCAAAAATGACCAAAAGAACAAGACAAGTGATACCGCTGAGGCCGGAGATTCACCCTGTTGTTGGAGGTCCCCACCTAAATGCATTGCCAATATTGTGGAGTTCTTTGAGCGTGCCAAGAGTTACGCACACCTTGTGGTAGAAGGTGGGCTCCTCGAGGATCCAATCAAACTAAAGTAGATCGATAAAAAAATAGTGTCGGTCTTTGTCGTCGACAAGCGTTCACGCAAAATTTGACCAAAGACACAGTGGTTAAAACACTAGAGTCCCTGAGGTTTAAGCCACTTCGAATCGTTAAGGGTAAAAGCTTTTTCATGTGGGACGTACTGTTACCCACTGCCAAAGACTGTGTAAGAGCTACAAGTCAGGATTTAATCACGAAAGATTTAATTCTCCGTACTGAGTACGAAGGCAGAAGAACCAAGTAGCCGTATACGAAGTTCCTCCTTAGGGTATCAGGGAGCACATGGCCTGGCGGCTTTCTTGTCCCAGTACAGGGAAATTCTGGGTGCTTCCTGTGATAGCATGACTGGGGGATGGAGCTTTGACATCATGTAAAGCCTTCATCTCCATACCCAACTGTCTGGATGTTGGTGGCCTGAAGCTGCCGGTCATAGTGACCAGCCATAAACCAGTTTGTTCGAAGTGCGGAGAGACTGGTCACCTGTTCTCTTCCTGCCCAGAGAAATAGGCCTCTGGAAGTCAGGCCCCAGTCAACCAAACTTGCCCTCTGACCGAGTTTTTGAAATCTGCCTCACCTGTAATGGGCATGCCAGCTTCCGGGACCGGAGTGGTCAAACCACCAGTGTGGTCAACACCAAAGCCCCCATTCCCCAAAGAGCCTTCTCCCGCTGCATGTGCAGTTGTGGAGGGGGGAGAGGGGGAATGACAGGTTACTGGCAGTGCTAGAGGGAAGCGTCAGACAGCGAGTCCTCAGTCTCCTGAAGCCCCTGGGACAAAAGGCACTTGCAGTCCCACTCCTATCAACAGTAAGGGCGATGCCTCAGCCTCGTTACCAACCCTGAAAGATCTACAAAAAAATATGACTCTGCATATGAAAAGACGGAAAAAGTCAAGGAGTTAAAAAGGAAATTAGACCTCCAGCGCAAAACAAAATCCTCCACCATTAAGAAAACACCTCCCTCCGCATCCACTGTTGAACATTCAGCACAGTCTCCCAAGCCCTCTACATCCAGTCAGCCCAAGTCCATCTGTTCAAAGAAGGCCACACCCTTCATAACCTCTGACCCACCACTTTCTTCCCATCCATCAACCCCTCTTTGTAGAGAGAAGTCCTCGCCTGCCTCTCCTTCCACATCTTTTCCTCAAACCTCTATCCCTCTCAGTAGAGACCCCAGCCCTTTTAGGCAAACATATACACCCCGCCACACCCCCAGTCATTCTCCCATTAAAACCCCAGAAATGCCCCCTCCACAAAATAAATGTCTCAGAAGCCCCACACATGACTTAAATGTTAACAGAAAAAAAAGCAAAAGCACAGTTTTAATTCAGGTGAAGATGTGTGCAAAATATCCCCTAGTTAAGCAGAAAAAGCTAGAGACTATGGAAACAGAATAAAAAAAAACTAAAATATCTGTTATCCATTAAACAATTCGCCGACAAGGACATAGAAGAACCTCAAAACTTCCCCAATGAGGAAAGGGTAATAAGAACTGGGAAGAGGACGAGGCAGGCTTGAGCTATGTTAGATGAAGCTGTAGCTTCTTTCAAAATGTACCCGCCCATTGCAATCGTCCAGAATGAAAAGTTTTTAAAAATGAAGCAATTTTGTTTTGGGAGGGTCCCGGTTTTTGTTCACCCCCTCCCTCTATAGAGCACTAAAATTGACGTTTCCTATGGATATAGGCGGTCTCTCCCAAGACGGCTCGATCAAGACTGAGATGGGCCACGGGTCGATAGGAGAGGCGGTCGATATCCTTACCCCGTCCATGTTCAATTCAGGAAAGCAACTTTAATTGTTTAGATAAATGTCTCTCTGGTTAACTAGTATAAATGTCCGAGGCCTGAATTCGAAGTCTCGCAGGGCGAGGCTCTCTCGAGACCTTCAGCGCCTCGGGGTGAATGTTTGTTGCGTGCAAGAGATCTGATTTTCTTCTCATGTTCGTGAGAACATTTTGTCTAGGGTGTTCTCTCTTTATTCAGCACGTTTTGATGGTTGTTCGAGAGGTGTCTCTTGGCTGGTGAGCAAGTCTTTGAAGCCTGCGTGTACTCTTGTCTTCCCAGATCCGGCGGGCAGACTTTGTGTGCTGGATGTTACCATAAAATATAAGGTTCTGCGTCTTATTGGGGTTTATGCGCCCAATTTCCATACTGAGCGGCTTGCTTTGTTTCGGTGGATGGAGCCGTTCTTGACGACATCTCGTCGGGTAGTTTTAGCGGGGGACTGGAATATCGTCCTTGACCCCGATTTAGATCGTATAGGGCAAAAACTGGGTACTAACAACCGGGACGTGAAACCATTTCGGGACCTTATCGACGGGTTTGATCTTGTCGATAAGTACCGGAATGAGCACCCTCGGGAGGTAGTTTGGACTTGGACAAATAGAGGCAGCTCGGCTCCTGGGACTCTTGCTAACAATCTCGACCAAGTCTTAGTTGGGAGAGTCGATGTCGGGCTCTTAGAGTGTCCAAATTTTCATTATATAGTTTATTCGGATCATAGGCTTGTCCGGGTCCATGCAAACTTAGATAAACCTAAAGTAAGGTTGGATGGCTACTGGAAATTAAACTGTTCATTATTTGATGAGCGGAATTTCCGGGACCAGCTGCTTCTAATGATACAGAGGGAATTGACGGGGGGCGGTTGTAGGGAACGCCCGGTGGTATAAATTAAAATCCCAAATTAGAACGTTTGCTGCTGATTTTAGTCGTCGACTCAATCTAGACAGATTAGCGGCGCAAACGGCTTTACAACAAAAAGTTGATCGGGCAGTTAAATCCCGTCATAGTGGGGAAATAGCCTTAGCTAAGACGGAGTTGCTTATCAAGAAGGATCAAGCTCTAGTAGTTAGGGCGAGGTTAAATAGAATGCCCTCTGAAGCAACGAATATGGCCGCTGAATTGCGTGCAGAGGAGAACCGGTGCGCGCCTCGGCGACATATCGCGTGCGTCACATTGCCGGATAAGCGGACCGTGACTACAAACGAGGGCATATGTGAGGCTTTTCGTGAGTACTTTCAGGAACTTTTCACCAGGGAGTCCGGTCAGAGTCCTGCTCAGTTCGACGCCCATTTAGCTGACTTTCTCTGCCTTGAGGCAGCTGAAGCGGCTCGGTGCGAGGATCCTATTACGGGAATCTGGGAAGCGCTGAAACAGGGCCTGGACAAATCTCCGGAATTAGATGGTCTTCCGTATGAAGTGTACTTGAGGCAGTCGCCCGTTTTTATTCCCTTGCTGGCACTGATTTTCGGCAACTCGATGAAGCTAGGGTCTATACCCCAACGCTTCACCAGGAGCGTAATCAAGTTGTTACGTAAGGACAAAAACGGTGCGGATGGGTTAGATAACTTTCGCCCTTTAACTATGCTAAACACAGAGTTAAAGATTTGGGCTAAGGTCTTAGCGAACCGTTTGCAGGCTGTTCTCTCTAGTCTGATTGGCTTCGAACAGACTTGTGCTGTGAAGGGCAGGACTATTCAGGACAACCTTCATATGGTGCGCTTGATCATCGAGCAAGTCGACAGTGAAGCCGCGCTGATCAATGATATGACTAGCATTGAGATTCGTCAATATATGCTTCTCATCGGGTTCCTGGGTCGAATGTGTCGCGAATCGGATGAGGAGGGCGCCTTCTGGAAGGAAGACGCCCGTAAGAACTTCCCATCCCTGAGAAGTGTACACCTGTGCGAGGAGGAGGCCCACCGTTTACCCAGAGTCGAGTGCTCCTTCTACCGTTAATGTCGTCGTATTCTGAAACATCTCTTATGGGCGTTGGATGGCCTCTCCAACGTCCAGGCGTTGTCTCGTAAGGCATTATATCAAGTGTTAGTTAGGGGGCCGTTCGTGATTAACTGATTGACGAGCTCGGTCTTACGAAGCCGGAGTTTCGTTCAATATGGCCTTGGGCGCCGGGGTTGAAATGTCTCAATAACAATGAAGCATCACTCACCTGGCTGGTGATGCGTGGGACCCTCTGGGTCCCCGAGAGATTTTGCACAGGCGGCTTGGAGAAGTATCCAAACTGCCGGCACTGTAGTAGGGAAGTCGAGACCATTGGTCACGCCTTCTTTCATTGCAGGGTGGTAGCGCCGTTGTGCAGGTATGTTGAAGGCCTCATGGTTCGCATGCTGTCTGGAAAGTTCTTTGTTCTTGAGGCCGCTTCTGTTTGTAGCAATGTGGCTCCGCCGTTGAGGAAGGCTGAACATTATGTGTTCTTATGCTTGCTAGGTGTTATGAGAGTCGTGATTTAAACGACACGTCAGAAGTGATTCTATGAAGGCGAGAAGTTCACTTCTTCCCAACTGATCTTATACTTTAAGTATCAGCTTAAGGTTAGATTAGGACAGAAAGGCGGCAACTTCATCAGAACTCGGTAAAAGGTGGGTAACTCTTGCGCGTGTTGTGTGAAAGGGGCTGACCTGGAGTGGCACTTTGATGCCGGTTAGACATCAGGATATTGCTTTACCTTGGTTGAACACGGGCAACCCATCCCGAAATTAGGTTAGCTTAGGTTTGGTTATTTGAATTTTTAGTTTCTTTTTTCTATAAACTTATCTCGGGTATGTATGTTCATTGGCCCCTTTTATTTCTGTCCCTAATTTTCTTTAAGTTTAATTCCCCATCCCTTCCCTTGTTAGGTGGTCAGTGATGTCAGTTCTCTAGTAGATGCGGGGAGCCTTTCGTTTCGCGTGTGTGTTTTTCGTATTTGTTGTTGTGTCAGGATGAATGCGTGTCTTTGTGAGTGCTTGGGATGGATGAATGTTTTCTATATTTTTATATTCCCGCATCGATTTCGTCCAGTTAACTGATATTTCTGTCACATTTAAGGTTTGTGGGTTTTTTTTTAATTATTACTAACATGATTTTGTTTAGTTGCATATAAATTGTAAATAATTTATAACCATATTGTATATAATCATTGGGGATTTTTTAACTTGTTGTTTTTATTCCTCCGACTCCAGACAATGATTTGTACATATGGGGACTGTTTAAGATTTTCATTGAGACAATGAGGTATTTTGGTGGATGTAGTAAGAAAAGTAAGTATGAATGTCTTGTTTTGGTGGTAGGAATATTGTATTGCTTGATTGGGTCAGTGGTTGTGGCTAGCTAAATTTAAAAAATTAAGACAGATGATGACCGTCCTTTCCCCACCCCACTTCTTTAGGCCTTGTGTCACATTTTTTGTATTTTACAGAAATAAATATACTTTTTCACTTTGCTACAATGTAAGCTCTCTTAGAAGATAGCGTCTTTTTGTGGGAAGACGCCGTGAACATTATACACACACACACACGTACGTACGAACATTCACCAAAATGCAAACTTTTTACATTCACACACAAACACAAATGTTAATATCTTTGTCACTTGTAAAATTGTTGTTTACTCCATATATTTGTTGATATATATCGGCCTTGTTTGTTTTCTTTACATCTTCGGTTGGATTCAACTTGAGTCTGCCATGTCCTTGTAGTTGAACCTTCTAGCAGGAATAAACAGCACGTGTTTCTAATTCAACAACGCGAAAACCCCCGCGGTCATCTACACTACAGTGTATAAATTTTGTTGTTTCAAACGTATTTTTTGTCGTGATTGAATATTTGGCCATTTCTTATAATTTATGTTTGTGGATATTGCATATTTTATTTGCAGCACAATCTTAGATATTCACGCAGCCTTCCTAGATCCACTACAAGTTCATTCCTCGCTGAGTGCTCTAGTACACTTTCGGCCTATGTGCCAAATCTAAGCTACGCTTAGTAAATAGCTATACAGCTAAGGGGGATAACTCCACTTAATTCCTTTAATAATTAATTCAACAAGCAAAATTATGTTTTTGAGAGTTTCAATTTAACCATGTCATAGCATTATGATTAAATTAAACAACCTCGCTAAGTTCAATGCATACCTGGTGCCTAGTTGCAGAGGCTCTGTGAAAAGCTTAGAAAATGACTGTTTTCGTTAAAGAAAATATGAAAGAGGAATGGAAGCCCGAAAAATAAAATTCCATATTTTCTTTTTTGGTTGATTAGTTATTTTTTATCTTGCTCGTTAGTAAAATTATGTTCTTAGAAGGCAAAAAGGGATGGTAAAGTAAAATGTAGGTATAAGAAGTTGTGGAGAACCATGATCGCTCTCGTTTTGAAAGACCACAGCACATAAAAGAAATGAGTAATAATAAGATCTAAACCGCATCTAAAATTAGTAGAATGAGTTTTGAAAACTAAAAAAAAAAAAAAAAAGAAAAAAAACAAATCCTTCATTTAATTCGAGAAAAACGATAATAAATTTTACGTGAAACTATCTGTTTGCTTCATAATGGGGTCAAATTCTATGGACACTCGAAATAGTGAAACTAGTTACTAATAGTGAAACTAAATTAGTTCAGAGAAACGTCTTCCGAGAAAATTTATAATAAATTTTAATAGCGGTGAGGTAACAGGAATTATTCAACATTTCTCTCGTAAACGAAAAACTAAAAAGCAAAGGAAATCCTTTTTAGCTGTTTAATAATAGCCATTCCATTTTTTCCCAACTGACAGAAAGAAAGTATCAATAATTTTCCTTGTTGAGAGAGAAATATTTTGAACTGAACAAAAAAAAAAAAATTCTAACAACTTCTTTCTTTTGCGAAAAAGTTACAGGTAAGAAGTTTCTTTCTCGTCCATATCTACTAAATGCCAATCAAAACGTAGTGTGTATGTATTTTTATTTATCCGTCGCAACAGAGTTGGAGTTTTTACTTTAATATTAATGTGTGATTTTCGGAAAATCGAGATGTCCCAACACCGGGGCTTAAGCTGGTATTATATCTGCAACTCTGCTGACCCAGTTAGTTATGTGCGTGTGTTTAGGTTCTTTTCTTTTTTTTTTTTTTTTTTTTGCTCGTGTAATAAAATTATTTTTTCAGAACACAAAACGGGATGGCAAAGTAAAGTGTACTGTAGGTATAAGAAGTTGTAGAGAACCATGATTGACCTCGTTTTGAAGAACCACGGCACATAAAAGTAGTGAGTAGAAGTATAAACAGCATTTTTAGTAGTGAATATGAATTTTGAAAACTTCTATAGAAAAACAAATCTTCCGTTTATAATTCCAGAAAAAACTATAACAAATTTTACGTGAAAATTTGTTTGAGTTTTTTGCATCATAAAATGGGGTCAAATTCCGTTGACCCTCGACATAGTGAAACTAATAAATAGTGAAACTAAATTAGTTTAGACAGAGAAATAGTGAAACTAGTTACTAGTGAAAGTAAATTAGTTTAGAAACGTCTTCCGAGAAAATTTATTTTACATTTTAATAGCGGTGAGGTTAACCAAACATTTCTCTCGAAGAAGACGAGTTAAAAAGCAAAGGAAATTCTTTTAAGTTTAATTATACAAAAAACAAAAGCCATAACAACTTCTTTCTTTTGGAACAACGCTACAGGTAAGAAGTTTTTCCTCCAAGTAAATGCCAAACAAAACGTGCTGTGCATGTATTTTTATTTATCCGTTCGCCCACGTCGCAACAGAGTTAGAGAGTTTAGATTTTTACTTTAAGGCGCGGCCCGATTAAAAAAAAAAAAAAACGAAAAAAACAATAATACATGATTTACTTTCCTCAGTCTTGTGCTTTTTAAAAAAAAAAAAAAAAAAAAGTATATTAATGACTTGCGTACTTTAACATTGAATTTTTACACTTTTTATAAAAAAAATTTGGTGGGGGGGGAATAAAATATGGGTAAATTTTCATTTTAACACCCGAGCGCTAATATCCAATTTTTTCCAAAATAGTCTTATTTCCGTGCAAATGTATATGCTGAACTCAAATCAACAATTAGATATTGAAGAAACCTACTTTTTTGGATGTTAACGACCAAAAAAAATCGGACTTTTTCCTGGTCTTTCGTCAGCCATTGCCGGCTTATTGATAAGTAATTCAGTGCTGAATTTTGTTGGTGGACGTATACAATTTGGGCGTATTTACTTCCTTCATAGTAATTCTTTGTAGAAATTAGTACGCGCTTTTTTTGGTACTTAATTTAAGAAGAAAGTTAACTTTCAAATATATGTAAACATTGACAAATAAAAGAATAACAAAGTAATTTTTTTTAAGAAAAAAGTTAACTTTCAAATTAGGGTCAGGTGTTTTTTTTTTGGTTATTCTTTTATTTTTTTTATTCTTTTTTAAGAAGAAAATTAACTTTCAAATTAGAGTTAGGTTTTTTCTTCTTTTGTTATTCTTTTATTTGTCAATGTTTACATATATTTGAAAGTTAACTTTCTTCTTAAATTAAGTACAAAAATAAAAAAAATCGCTTTACCGAAGCGCATACTAATTTCTGAAAGAAAATAGTTCAGCAGTGAATGACGCTCAAATGTTAAAATGGAAATTTACCAAAGATATTGTCAGTTTTTTAAAAATATTATACCAATTTGAAAAAATTCCTTAACATATTATTAAGTTATGAAGGAATTGTTCCAAGAAGGGGGAGTTTAATTCAGTCCTTCAGTGGGCGAAGGTGGAGGTTGTGTTAATTGATTAAATTATATGGATCAATGGTTGTTGAGTAAATAGGCTGCATGATGAAATTAACAATTTCCTTTCACATTAAAATTTCAGTATTCAACAAACATAGAATAAGAACAAACATGAGAAACAACAGTTTTTGCCCAACAATGAATAAATTATTTATATAACCAAGAGATACAAACAACTGGAGTAAAGAGGTAATTTAAAAAAGTTCAAACGTCCTTTTATGTTTAGATTGAAATGTTCTTAAAGTTCTGGTTTGATAGATTATAAGTTGTTGAACGGTCTGTACAATAATGAGAAAATGTATTTGGGTATTATTGTAATTTAAGGAAAAATAAACAGATCAAGTTTGTACTTAAAGTAGAGAAGTATTGTTGACGACTTACTTTAATGTTTACGAAGTTGTCACGCTTTGATTTGTTTTCACTTGTCGTTTGAAGAGAATATTCTGTAGTTGGAGTAAGTGATTCTTAACAAGCTGTGTTTATGTTAATTGCAATAATTGATGTTGAGCTTGAAAGTGTATGACAAAGATTCGTGTATCAAGTTGAATGAGGAAAACTCGAGTTGATTGTTCGTCATAAAATATTGCTGTGTGAGTGAGTGTTCATTTCAGGTTGAAATTATGTTAAGGAACTTTGACGTAAAGCCTGGAACTGTGTGACAAGTTCAAAGGATTCCAATCAGCTCACTGTCAAGGATGAGTGACATTTCACATTTATTGCTAACTTTGGTCACGTGGTAGGCTCACAGGGGATTGATAAATTTTGGCGGAATTATTTTTTGGTCAGGTCAAGAACTAGGTTGATGTTATTCGAACATGACTTAAATATTAAGTGACCAATTAGAAGTTGAGGTTTTCTGAAAATATGTATTAAGCTGAATAAGCTCTGTGATCCACTTTTTGCACAGAGATTTGTACAAAAATTGATATTGATAAAAAAAGTGGTAGTGGGATGCTAAATACTCACTACTGTACAATCAAAAACCCTTCTCTACCGTTTGCCGATTTAATTACAAACCACGCATGTGCGCACACACATACACTACACATAACCATAAGATATATTTTCTAAGGAATTATTTCTAACCCAACATTATTTTTATTACTCGAACATTAATGTATATTCCCTGAGTAGATGTCCTGTGTTTTGTAACCTAATCATGTACACATTCGAGAGACTTAATGAGGAAAAATGTGTTCCATCACTGGTAATCCATCACTGGTAATCCATCACTGGTAATCCATCACTGTCACAATAGGTTTTGAACCTGCGTTCTTTTTTTGTTGTACATTTCCTTTATTAAATCACTCGAATGCTCTGGTTGGTATATGTAACTCATACTATTAAAATGGTACATGGCATCTACTCAAGCATGGATATCCACTCTAAAATAATGTCTACATGCACACACGCACATTAGGGAAGGGGGTCAGATGCTAACTAAAAGGACCCAAGACTACTGATGATTCCAGTTAAAACATCATTGATGGCACCCACCTGCACATCGGAAAGCATATTCCATGTCCTATGCATGTATACCATAGGACTTACAAAAAAGTAGACATGTAAACTAAAGTAATAGTAATTATGATAAATATATACTAGTGAAAAATTAATCATACTTGAATAAATGAATGACAAATAATTGTTTTTCTTCAGTTCTCTGGTGATTTTCTAAGCATAGCTTACAAGGCTGAAAGCATGTTACAAGGCTGAAAGTATGTTATTGTCATTGCTATCAATAGTTTGATATTACACATAACTTATTTTATCTTCTCTTTTCAGAAAAGATATTAAAAGCAAAAATGTCATGTGAGTAAACAGTTTATTTCTTTGATAAATTTTGTTGCATGCTTTTCTAATAATCAAATCAGATTGCTGCAATCTGGTCTGGTGTTCCTACTATATATCTTGAGGTTCTTGACAAATTCCAATGAAGGGTCTGTAATGCTATCAGTCCTGACCTGGCATCTGGACTTCAGTCACTTTCTCTCCACCATGACATGGCTTCAATCTGTCTTTTCTATAAATATTTTCATGGCAAGTGTTCTGATGCATTTTTCTCTTTGGTACCTTGACTGCATGATGTGTTTCTCTGCTGAAGCCATGGGTACACAAAACAATCTGGAGAGGAAAGCCCTGATGAGAATCAGAGCTCTTAACTTCTATACTGCCACAACCATACTGCCTGTTTTTATGCATCTTTCAGTCATATCAAAATTTAGACAAAGGTAATCCATCACTGTCACAATTCCATACCCACAGGTTTCAACACCCCCCCTACACTCAGTCATTTCAGATCAAAGTTGAGACCAGTATCAAAGAATTTGGAATTACATTCACTACTACTATCATTTATTGCAGTTTTAGTGGCACAATCACACATTTGCCAAACAGAATGGTTCCATTAATTTCTGACAAGGAAGAGCTATGTTGGAAGAATGGTTGGGGCTGCCTGTCAGCACATACTGTTGGCCAGTTAGTGGAGTGAAAGTGCAGGATTTTATGTAGCAATGGACCTGAAGCTGTAGCTTCCCAAATCATTTCTGACGTAACTGGTATTTCTCTGACTATGGATACAAGTGTTAAGACAACTTCTTGTTCTACAAATACAGCAGCAACAACTGTATTCTCCAGTAGGTTGCAATGTGAAGAGATGTGTCTGGATAATGTATCTGCTTGGCCAATGTTGTTGCTGGACTGATATTTGATGGAGAAATTATAGTCCAAAAGCTTTGTGGGCTATCATTGTAGATGGTTAGCTGTGTAAACTGTGATGCCTTTCTTTGAACTGCAAATGCTAACAAGAGGCTTGTGATCTATGATCAGGGTAAAGTGCCATCTATATAACATCTCGTGGAATTTTTTTATGGTAAAGATAATTGCCAAGGCTTCCTTTTCAATCTGGCTGTAATTTTGAATTGTGGGGATAAGTATGGTATGTGTGTGCAATTACTTTTTCATTTCCATCTGGAAATACATGTAAAATTACAGTTCCAATGCTATGAACTGAAGCATCTGAAAAAACAAAAACTGAATTTGCATTAAACCCCTGACTATAAGTTGTTTTAATCTGGTTATATCTGTCTCTTGAATTTGAGGGATTCTTTTTTGTTATCACAGCTTTGTCTGTTTGGAGGCCATAAAAACTGTCCATGTGTTTGCAGCATGAGCAAAATTGACATATATGTTTTTTGAATCGATGATAACGTGCACGGTGCTATTCACTGCATGACAAACAAAATGTGGGTGGTCGTTTTTTATTTGTAGTTGGAGATTTTCTTCCCACTTGAACATTCCCAGTAACAGACGGGTTAGAAAACTGTTGAAACATAAGCGTGTCATGCTTGAGGTTGATCAAAGGCTGACATTTGATTGTCAGCGTTTTCACTGTTATGCCTTTGTCTTGTTCAAATTTAGACAACAACTGTGTCGGAATGTTTTCATTAACAAATGGCATTTCCAAGCTTCATTCTTGCTTGGGAATTTGCGTTTTTAAAGTCTCCTTCCAACATTTTAACTATGCATCAAACATGTTTTCAGTTGTTAGGTCAAAGTAGAAATCTGAAATTGTAGCTGCTATTTGGTCACCTGTGGTTATTGTCACTTGTGCTTGAGTTCTTGTAAAAATCTTCGTCACCAGTGTTGTGTTGCTAACTGTATGTTTATTGTCAACTAAGAACAAACACACAATTCAAACCATTATACATATATATTTATTTAGAACTTGATAGCAAGAGATGTAAAACATGACTGGTGATTACCAGTAGATTGAATTTCAATAGATGATATGTGTAGATGTTTGACCGCCATCTTGCAATTTCTATTTCTTGTCTGTTGTCCTCAAGAATTCTGTACAAAAGGCATAACTTGGTTTCAATTTAGGGAGTGAGTTAGCTCCCATGTTTTGACGTCTGTCCTAACAAACACTTAACACAAAATAAGCAAAAAAATTTTGTGGGATGGGGCAAAATTTCATGAAAATTTAGATACACAGAAGTTTTATGCCTAGATAAGAGATAATACAATGTGAAACTATGATTAGAACACCCAGATAGAAGAGGAAGGTGTGATGTTATCTCAATCACAAGTTTTTGGGTCTTATGGTCCACAGATGGGTTCTTTGAAGTTGGATCTTCTAAGCAATGCCCACTTGATCAAAGGAAGGAAAAAAAGAATGAATAAAGTAAAGAAAGTTTTTGGGGTCAAGTGACAACAAAGTCGGATATTTATTTCCAGTTGCTGGTTGATATCACAGCTGAGATTGAAGAAGACTCCTTGTCTGCCCTTGAAGGAAGTGATACCTACCTACCTACCTACCTACTCACCCAGACTGAGCAAGCAAAACCCTGAATAAAATACTTAAATATATTGGGAATAGGGTTCACATTCTCATTGTGGTTGCAGGTGGTTATATCAAATAAACATATACTCTAACCCTTACTGCACATTTGCACCAAGTTTTGTTTCAATAAATTTAGTTGTTTTTAAGATGTGGTTGCTTTTCTTACAGTCTTCAACGTGTCCTCAAATAAATACCTTACACACCCTGTAACATCAAACAAAATTATTACTATTTTGAAAACTATTTATGTATTATATTATTTATTAGGATCGTTGGCAAAACACTGGCTAATTGCCAATCAATTCAGACTTTATAAAGTGGTAGATAATAGAGATTTCCTTATAGTTGATTCATATATTCTAATTATTTAGTAAATGTTTATAAATTCATGAATAAAAAACTGTTTTCACATCTATTTCTTCATAAATTGATAAATGATAAATACTTCATTGTATTAGTTCTGATAGTATTAGTTTTTAGAATGTTATAATTGTAAAATTATTCTTGTAAATAAACAATCTAATAAATAAATAGTGTTTAATATTTTTTTTTTAAATTCTCAAGAACAAAAAAAAAAGAAATGTATAAATTTACTTTCATCATGCGTTTAGTTTTTATTTCAATTCTAATCATCACTCTTTAAAACAATAAACATTGCTGAAGAGTGAAACTAGTTAAAATAATAGCAAATGTCATTGGGAAAAACTGTCCTTTTTGATTATACATCTTATTGTGGGTACGTTTTTCCATATTTGTCATCCTTTAGTTATTTATTTTGCAATGAGTACATCTGATTGACCATTACTACTGAGTATTGAGTTCAATCTTCACTAGGTGCTCTGTACTTGTGGCCTTATGTCTAACTTAGTAAATGACAACAATATATCACATGAGGATTGTATTTCTAAAATATTTTATTGATTTTATCATTTTTTATTTTTGAATCAGTTCAGCCTAACTTGGAGTTTTATATGAATAAATTTCCAGCAGAACCAGATTGTAAGTAAAACTATTTTATATCCACATCAGTGTGTGAGTGTGTGTGTGTGTGTGTGCGCACTTGTGTGCATCATTATTATGGCTTTGAGCATGAATTTTGAATGACTGAATTATCTTCTTTTTCTGAGACTTTTGTATTATTGTTTGTTTAAAGTCTGTATTCTACTTTTGCCTTTGAAATTAAAAATGAAATCAATGTAAATCTTTGGTTGATGAAGGGAACAGAAGTCCTGAAACATGAACCAATATTCAATATGTTATAGAGTTTTTGCCTTCAATTTTATTGTATCAATCAATCATATTGTATCAATCAATCATATTGTATCAATCAATCATATTGTATCAATCAATCATATTGCTCAGTAATATATATTTAGGTACCTTAACTTTTTCACTGAAGAAACAGCATAGCATAATATTCAAAAAATCCCCAAACTTAATAAAAACAAAGTTTTATTGTCAAAATGTTTGTTATTATTAAGAGGAAAGACCAAAGTATTTATTATTTTATTAAATTTTTTAATCCTTTCTAGCACATTCAAAATTTTGGTTAAAAATCTTTTTATTTTTTTAGATATGATTCCCCCCTCCACAAATTTAATTTCATGAAATTTTGAGAAATTAAATTTTTATCTCAAAAGTTGTTTTTATTAGTTAAAAGCAGGACTCTTTGAGAATATAAATCATTAATTTTGTTTTTTTAAACCACTACTCATTTGCCGAAAATCTGTTCCAAATCGTAAAATAAGATGTACAATAAAACTATATAATTATTTAATTAGAAAAGCTTTTGATTATTTTATAAATAAAATTTATTAAGGACACTATTGTCTTAAGAAAAAAATTTTTTTGATGAATAATGAATTTTTATAACAATTTTTTTCATTTTTTTAAAATTTTAATTATAATAATTTATAATCTATAGATGTTTTAAAATTCTGCATTACTTTCATCTCGTTTGGTGATATTGTTATTAAGTGAAAACTATATTTACTAAGCTAAAATTGAAAATCTTAATACAAATCATTTTGCCCCAATATTTTTAAAATGATTTTTTATTTTTTTTATGTATATAAAATATTATGTAATTTGCCCATTTTTAAAAGTATTGTCAACCATACATGATATTATCAGAAAATAAGAGCAATGATGATATTAAACATTCCTAAAATTAGATTACGGAGAATATTTTCTAACATTTTAAAAATTACTGAGTACTTAAAAATTATATAAAAAAGCACTCACATCATTTTCTTAAATTATGTTTTACAGATAAAGTCTCCATAGAACAACAATCATTATGTAATCACCTATCAGTGACTCGTCAATTATGTAAAACATGGTGATGTCGGTTAAAAACACAGCTATAGTTTTGTTTAAAAATACATTTCTGTGTTATTTTAAACTTAAAGTAAATAATATTTGTTTAAATCAGATTTATTATACTTTAAATCAGCTAATATTCCTTAAATAAAGTTTCAGAAAAGTATATTTTATTTTTGGAAAATTTTTTAATACAGAAAATTACATTGTGATGAAAGATGACTAAAAAAATGGTGTTAATCAGCTATTTAAAAAAAAGGAAAGAAATTCTTTCTGATCATTATAATTTCTGTTTGAAATACACCAGAGCATTTTGCTTACTGGAAATAATAAATATTTAAATTTAATCCTTTAGCTTTCAATTAAAGCTAAAATGAAAACTCCAAAGCTTTTTCAATTTTTAAAAATTAATTTTAAACATTAAGTATTGAAAATTAGTAGAAATAACTATATATTTTTTATATAGATTCAGGGTGATGTAATGGAGTTCAAATTGTAATCATCTTTGCCTTTTATCTGACTTGTTTGAGAGAATTAACAACTGTGTGAAGTATGCCTAAGGTTTTTATTTATCAAAACATACTATTGCAGCTGTGAAAATTGCAAATAATTAAAAGAAAGACATTAAGAAGTGTGCAGATACAAAATGATACAAAATATCATTTAATAAATATTCAAAGAATATTGCAACAATACATCTCAAAGCCTTGTGTGGCACAAAGAAATGGCAAAAAATGTAAAAAGTACTCAAAATACAAAGGAGAGGAATATTTATATGTTAATTATATGTTAATAATCTATATAAAAGACGTGTATAACACAAATGACTGACAGCTAGTCTCTTCTACAATTAACCATCCTGGGTATGACGATAAACCACGTCCAACAGCAAGGCCTCTGATCAGGAGGTTTTGAGGAACGTGGAATAACCTCTTAATTGCTGGAGTTCCCAGGTCCACCCTGAACCAGGGTGGTAGCACCTGTTAGGGTCCCAGCTATGGGCAAATAGTTGACACACAAACTTGTACAAAAATAGGTTTTAATACCAGAAATACTTTTATAAAAAAAATATTACCAGCAATAATTTTTGAAGGAAAAATTATTATATTAAGTACTAGCAATACAAACAGCTATACATTTAAAAAAAAATATTACCAGCTACAAATTTCTTCAAGGAAAAATATTCCCAGAAATAGATTTTTGAAGAAAAACATATTACCAGCAATAAAAATTTTGTTGGCATTAAATAACCCATTGAGGTTGATATGCTGTAAAACAAACCAAACCAAACCAAAATTCTACAATTAAGGTATAAGAAACTTAAGTTTACTATCAAATACATAGGTGTAAGAAAATAAAATTCTGAGAAAATAAAAGATTTCACTTTAAAGGAAAAGTGTTAAAAGTAGTAAATTTACAATTTAGTAAAATAACCCTTAGTGCATTGTATTTTTTATTAATCTTCAAAGTTTCAGCTTTTATGCATGTATAGTTATTAGAATTGTATTCCATTCAAGTAATACATTTAAATTGAGCCAAGCATTTTTCCATTAAATATTCATGTATATTCATGTGTCTACTACTACGTTCTTGTGCCAGGTATGAATAAAAGATAATGTATCAAGTCATTAGTAAAAGTAACAGTCCAAATAGTAACAGTATTAGTTGAAGTATTAAGAGGAGTCATTAAGAAATCTTCTTGAGTCTACTTAATTTACTGGATAACACTCTAACAATTTCTGGAATATGAAAATTTTGAATTTACACTTGATCTGCTTTCTTATTTTCTTTCTTTATCACAAGGCCAAATTTTCAGGCCCCCAAACTTCTGTAAAATAATTAATTTTAGCATTGTTTTTATAATTTCAGCTGATATGATTGAAGATATCCTGTTGAAATGGAAAGGAAACTATAAAAAACTGGAGGAAAATATATCTTATATGCAATGGTAAGTAAAATTTTCAGGTTTTATTCAGTGTTTGAACAAGTTTAATTTGTTTATTGTGGATAGACATTAGAGTGGGCAATTTCAACTGTTGAATGGGTGATGAGCAACTGAACAGAAAATAGTGGGTAACTGGAAATTTTGGTGGGTGATATAAGATTTTGAGTATTAAAAAGATATTTCAATATATGTTAGTCAAAGAAGAAATACAAAGAACTTGTAAAAAAAAAAAAGCAAAAAACAGTCAGCTGAATGGGAATAATTGTATCGTATTCCTAGGTAAGATATAAATATCCCTGCAAACAAGGAATATTTTGGTGCTTTCTATAGCTTTGAGAATGGCCATTATCATTCAAATAGTTCTTCATACAAAATAACATTTCTTTTTTGGATATAAATCAAATAAATTGGGAATACCAAGAACAACTTTGACAGTAAAATTAAGAAGTAATCTCATATTATGTCTCCATTGCCTTGAATGAGGATAACACAATGAAAAAGTACTATGTTGCCTGGAGTCAACATAGTCTTGCTAAAATAGGTAGGAAGCAGATAAGCTAGATCTCTAACTCTATACTTGTTTACTCTTTCTTCTGATGATTCTCAGTATCTGTATTTATATATTTGGAAGAGTCCAAGTCCTCTTCTAGAGTGGTTTGTTTATTTACTGTCTGAGAACAGCAATGATTTGTTTGAATTTAAACCATGAATTCCATGTGTGTGTCAGCTAGTCACCATGTTTACTTCTGAAGTGCCATGCTTGACATCTAAGACAAGGGAAATAACTCAATTGTATTTTGAGTTATCATCCTTTACAGGGGAAGTAAATTAGCTTCCCCTAACAGTGTGTAAATAAAATTGTTTTTTTAAGCGGCAGATTACATTATTACATCAATGTGCAATCATGTCTGGAATAGTAGTTTATTTTTTAGGCTTTTTTTTGAGAATCTGTGGTTTCGTTTCTGTTCACATACCCTGCATTCAGATTTTTACCAATGTCTAATTACTCGCTGATTATATTATCGGCCTTAATGAAGCACTAAGTATTTCAAAGAACTTTATTTCAACTATCCTTGAAACCTAAGTATTTCAAACTATCTATCTTCATCTACTATTGAAAGTATGCAACCATATAACCCTTACATGAAAAACAAACTCTTTTACTTTTGTTTTAAACATTTTTGAATATTTGTGTCAGATGATTTAATCTGTTGTGTGAACATTTTCTCTTCATGACAATTCATTGAAACTACAGAATTTATTTTCCTGAAATGAGCTACTGACACAATTTCAAGCATGTAAATTCATAAATTGCTAATCTTATTTTGTTAAAATTGTCTGTGTTTCCTCCTCAGTATCTACCTCCAATAACCTATTTGGTGTGGGTAAACCAACTGTTCATTTTAACCTACAAGTCCCATGCCACTATAATCTGGTGACCTTTGATGTGCCATTATGAATCAAAAAAATTATTCCAAAAAAGTTATCTCCTATCTCAGGCATCTTACGACATGTTGGTGTGTATATGACTTGTTGCATTAAGCTAGATTTGACTTACTTTATGAAAATATGAAAACTTAAGTAATAATAATGATATAATTGACTTCTGCCAAAAAAAAAAACAAAAACACATCAATAGATAACAAGAGCTACAATATTCAATAAAGCAACAAATGTTTAGTGAAGTTACTTCATAAACTGACTCAAGTGTTTTCCATCAAATCACTCGTCAGATATTGAATGTACATTGATTTACTGACTATACATAAAAACTAGGTTTGAAAAGTATTGGGATTGTTGCTATAGTAACAGAGCTAAAGTAAATAGAGGGATTGACCTTGAACCCTGTTGTGCATACAAACTAAATTATAATGTTCTTACTCACTTCCATTTTTAATAGCAGTGCTTGGAAGGAAAGTGTGTAGAGTGTGGTTGTCTCAGCACACTACACCACAGAAGTTCCATCAATAAACCTGGCTTGTACAGCAGTGAAGCACAACATTCCCCAGGTCTGACAAATAAACATATTGTGAAGTGGGCAGCCATGGTCAAATGCAAAATATGTAACAGGACTGTTGAACAAACAGAATTGCCAAAGTTTGCAATAAGCAATAACAAGAAAAAGAACAGAGCTAAAAAATAATATAAAGCAAACAATATATACAAGGCAAATTAACAGTAATAAGGCAAAGCAACAGTAAATATGGCAAAAAGTTCACAAACTAAGGACTGGGGTTGACACAAAAAAGCAAACTCAGACAAGTGAATGTAGTATTCGCACTTCAAGATAAAACAAACTGGGAATACATCAGGTCAAACTGAGAACCGGACTATTTTATTGACTAGGAAAAACCCAGCATGCATTTGTGTGCAGTTTCCTATAAAAGAGGAAGAGAAATTGTTTTGCAGTCATTTCTAGCAGAGACTGGAATCAACACATATTCCACAGATTTTTCCCCTTGCAATATTTTCCTCTTCAAAAATCAAATCCCACTTGAAAGGAACAAGATTTCCTAGTGTCAACGAAATCCAGGAGAATGCAATGAGGCAACTGCTCACTATCCAACAAAAGGGGTTCCAGGAATGCTTCCATCAATGGAAATGATGCTGGATAAAACATATGCTTTCAGAAGGGGACTACTTCAAAGGAGATTAAATGCTGAAGTGATATATGTTGTAGTTTTCTTTTTATAGCATCAGTCCCAATACTTTTTGATCAGAGCTCATATGCAATTTAATTATTTTCTTTTTAGAAATCAACACTGTATGATTATCCTAAATATTAATCCTGTTTCTCCAACAGATATTCACATGAACATTTAAAATATAAAAAATAACAGCTGTGGAAAAGTTGGAAGAATATTCTAGTGAGAAAACAAATGCAGGTATAACTTGTCTGAAGTGTTATTCCATTTAGAATGGAGTATGTCTGACTGGACTTATTTAAATACTGGTTACGTATAAGGGGAGATAATCCATATCACACTCTCCCCAGCTGATTATTTATAGATATTGACATTTACTAAACTTGACCAAGATTGGCACAGAATGACAAATTTAGGCCTCAGGATCATTTGCATAACTTTTTGCTTTACTTATTTTGTCATGAAGAATTTGGAAAAAATATAAATACACCCTTATGCAAATTAATTAAAACAAAATGAATAATTCCATTATTATTTATGTTTTTTTGTATTTTTCTAATGAAACATGACCCAGTCCACATGTTAGTACTTCATATGTCCATTCCTTGAAGTCATTCTTTGCAGATTGAACACAGATTCTTGATTAGATTTAAAACAGGAGAGTTTCCAGACCAATCTATAGTATTTTGATTTGCTCACTGGTAAGGCTTGCCAGTGCATTTGTGCAACATTACAATTTTTGTATGCTTCCTGAGAGCAACGCCCATCACAGACAATGGCTGTAGGACAATTAATCAGCAGTCAAGACAATAGTGTCTGGGTATGATAAAAATCTGATGCAATCACAGATGATGCAATATTTTTAAATGTCAAACAAATTTCATCACACACCATGAAAATAGATTTATATTACTGCACACCACTGCAAATGACCTAATATGAGGAAAAATAGAAATCCATTATACCCTGTCACTCCAGTGAGTCTAAAACTGACCATATGGTGAAAGAAAGGAAACTAAAGCAGTTGTTTGAATTGATTTGCACAAGGGTGTACCGTGAAATATTTTTTTTATTTATATTTGTGACTAATTTCATTGCACATATATTTCAGGTTGTTTCCAACTAAATCACAAGGGAAAAATCCAGCATCATATCCTCTCACTGAGGCAGAAGCTGAGGTAAGACATTTCACATTTTTATCATCTCTTGTCAGATTTTAACATTTTCTGCATTTTTCCTTGTTAATTTCTTAGTAGATCTATTTGCATATTTTGTTTTATATTTCTTTCTATATGTCTGTCAATTGTATATTTTTAGTAAATTTCTTTATACAAGGTGTATCAAAAATACTTTTACAGACTTTGGGGGCGAGTTCCTCACACCAAAACAAGGACAAAAGTCCATATAAACATATATCCACAAATTTTGAGTTATTAAGTTTAAAGAAAGTTTACAGTAGATGGCACTGTGTTGTTATGTAGATTAGGTTACATTTGTCTTTCGTGTACATTTGTGGCTAGTCTGTCTTCAATGTTTAATGTGTGTAGTAGTGAGTTAACTGAGAAGTTTTTTATTTAATAATGGCAGGATATTCATATCGTGAATAGGTAGATATGATTTTTACTTATGGCTGCACGAATGGTAATGGATGTAAGGTGGCAAGGGTGTATTAGATTGCATTTCCATGCTGAAGGCAGCCAAGTCATCCAGCCTTTTATCATTGCATTGCTGAGACAGGATCCATGGCACCAAAAACTATAGATCAAGGAAGACTAAGATCAGCTCATATGTCTGATCACAAAGAACACATTCTACAGGCTGTCAGAAACAATCCAGGTATCAGTACATATCAAGTGAGTCTAGCATGTTGTCCATTTTATAGTACTGCATGGAGGGTACTTCAAGAGCAGCTCCTTTATTCATATCATTTGCAACATGAGCAGGGTCTTTCACCTCTGATCACTCACCATGGGAATTGGTTTATTGCACAAACTGCCGATCCATTGTTTGTCTATTCAGTCTTGTTTACAGATGAGGCAATATCTGGAAGAGACAGAATAACCAACATTTTGGGTGGATTGGAATCCCCATGGTACAATAGAAGCTAGACACCAGCATCAGTGTACGATTAATATGTGGGCTGGAATTGTAGGTGATTGTCTAGTAAATTCATAATTTCTCCCAGCTCATCTTACAGGAGCTGTCTACAGGGACTTTATTTTGAACACACTTTCAGACCTTCTAGAGGATGTACCCCTGCTAATACAATGATGCATGGAATTCATGCATGATGAGCCTCCAGCACATTTTAGCCACATTGTTTGCGATGTGCTGGCTGATATCTACCATGAAAGATTGATAGATAGACGAGGACCAGTTCTATAGCCTCACATTCTACCAACATCAATCCTTTGGATTTTTATCTCTGGAGCCAACTAAAACAATTGGTGGTTTATGCAACAGACATTAATAATACAGAAATGCTTCATCAATGTGTCATGGGGCCTGTGAAACCATTCAATACTGTGTGAGAGTATTTGAAAGGGTCTGCCAATCAATGACCCAATGGGTGTATGTATGTGTAGAAGCAAGCAGAGAACATTTTGAACATTTATTATGAGTTTCTGTGTTGAGGTACAAATGATGACCTTTTGGGCATATGTTTATATTGACATTTTACCCTGTTTTGATGTCAGGAGCCACCCCCAAAGTTTGTAAAAATATTTTTGGATTGTATCTTGGATTGTACATTTAACTGCATCTACCATAAACTTTAAACTTAATAACTCAAAAATGAAGGATTTGCAGACATATGTTTATATGGGCTTTTGTCCTTGTTTTGGTGTAAAGAACCTGCCCCAAAGTTTATACATGTATTTTTGATACACTCTGTATATTTCTTGGTAGCTTTCTTGATATATTTCTTGGTAAATTTCATGATAAATCTTTTTGTATGTTTCTTAGGAGATTTCTTTATATATTTCTTAGATTTTTTTGTACATTTTTTTAAAAATTTAATTCTATATTTCTTGGTAGATTTCTTTGTAGATTATTTTGGTATATTTCTTAATATATTTTTTGATAGATTCCATGATAATTTTTTTTGTATTTTTGGCAGATTTCTTGATATATTTCTTGTATATTTTTTATCGTTTTCTTTGTATATTTATTGGTAGAATTCTTTGTCTATTTCTTGGTAGATTTTATGATGCATTTCTTTGTATATTTCTTTACAGATTTCTTTGTAGATTTCCTGATAGATTTCTTTGTTTATTTCTGGTAGATTTCTTTGCATGCTTCATGATAGTTTTCTTTGTATATTTTCTGGTAGATTTCTTTCTTGATGTTTTTGGTAGATTTCTTGGTCGATTTCTTGGGATATTTCTCAGTGGGTTACTTGGGAGATTACTTTATATATTCCTTTGCAAATTTTTTTGGTCAATTTCTTTGTACATTTTTTGATTAACTTTTTGGTATATTTCTTTGTATATTTCTTTGTATATCTCTTCATATATTTCTTCGTATATTCCTTAGTAAATTTCTTTGTAGATTTCTAGGTAAATTTCTTAGGATATTTATTTGTTTATTTTTAGTAGATTTCTTTGTATGTTTCTTGGTACATTTCTTTTTATATTGTTTTGACCGATTTATTTGTAGAATTCTTGATACAATTGAAGATTTCTTCATATATTTCTTGGTTGATATCACTGAATATTTTTTTATATATTTCTTAGATTTCTTCCTATATTTCTGTGTAGATTTTTTGGTAGATTTCTTCAGAGATTTTATTTATTTTTGGTAAATTTCTTTGTATCTTGGTAGATTTCTTTTCATATTTTTTTTAGATTTATTTGTAGAATTCTTGGTATATTTCTTTGCATATGTATCTTTGCATATTTTTTGTATATTTCTTCATAGATTTCTTTCATGGATTTCTTGGTATATATCTTTGAGATTTCATAGTAAATTTCTTCGTGTTATTCTTTGTTGTTTTTTGTTTAGACTTTTTGCACATTTCTTTGTGTATTTTTTGATAGATTTCATGATAGATTTCTTTGTATGTTTATTGATGTTTATAAAAATTTTATTTTTATAACTTAGTCTTTAGTGTAGTAAGAGGAGGCACGGTGGAGTAATGGATAGTGGCTTGGATTGAGTAATCGGAGAGCCAAGTTCAAATTCCAGTCGAATCCATTACATTCACTTACGTGCTAATACCCTTGGGAAAGTGTGAATCCTCTTCTTCTCCCTCCAGCTATGGGTAAATAGCAGGACAGATTGGGTTCTATAGCCTTGTATGGCAACTGGTCTAGGAGAAGGAAAACTCTGAATTCAAAACCTGCGGAGGGTGAATGGAGTCTCTCTGAGCCTTGGTTGGCAATCCATTTAGTGATGGTGTCATGATAAAAACACCCTTGATAGCCCTAGCGAAGCATCAAGAATTCAGCTGACAAGATTATGAACTACACCAATCAAAGTATTAGCTATGACAGATAAGGAATACTAGAAAGGTGTAGTGATTTCAATCTCAGCTGAGGCTGCAAGATGATGTGATTAGTGTAGTAAATAAATTATAAATGTTTACTTGCCTAAGTTAATGTTTTTTTTTTTTTTACATGTGCCTTTGAGAAAAGTGTATTTTTTGTGAGAGATGGGTCTGTTTTAAAATTAGTGGTTAAAGTACTGCCAAAATTATTTGTGAATTGTTGCAGATTCATTTTTTGAATTCATGGAGAAAGAAGGTTTCATATTTACTGGTCAATGAGAAACAAGCTTTTTGAGCCCTTCTGAAATTCTAGAGTGAGTCTGTCTCAGCAATAATAAGGCCTTCTGTCTCAGCAATAATAAGGCCTTCTGTCTCAGCAATAATAAGGCCTTTTGTCTCAGCAATAATAAGCAATAATAAGGCCTTCTGTCTCAGCAATAATAAGGCCTTCTGTCCCAGCTTTCAACCCAGTTTTCCTCAGTCACTGATGTGTTTTCTGTTGGTTAATATCTATTTATTTTGTTCTTTTTATGTATTTGCCATACAATACCTTGTCCTCCCAGTTTTTTTGTCATTTCATTTGGCCAGATTGTTTTGTTTTCTGTTTTACTTGTTTGGCATAGATGATATTCACTTTGTTTTTTGTTGGTAGGGTTTCAGGTACATTGAGCTATTTCTTGTATTATTATTTTTATTATCATTGTTGTTGTTGTTGCTGTTATTATTGTTATTAATGTTGTTGTTATTATTATTGTTATTATTATTATTGTTATTATTATTATTGTTATTGTTATTCTGTATTTTAAAATTTCTTTCATCAGCTCCCTATACCTACATTTTGTAAGAAGCATACATGAGCTCTCTCTATATAGCTATCTATCTATCAATACATATATATATATATATATATATATATATATAATAAGTTGTATGGATATGAGTTTGTGAACCTGGGTTTCGCACTTTTGCCATAACCAGAAAAATTCTTCCACTAAGTACTGTGCATATAAAATATAATGTGTGTGTGTGTGTGTGTGAGAGAGTTTTGGATCTATAAAGATTTATGAGGCTTTTCTATGTCTATTTCTGGTTCTGTGCTGACCAGTGAAACCGATGAAGGAGAGGTAAGCCATTTTACATTCACTATAGGAGGTCAACCAGTTTATAGTGCCACCTCACCTCTCCTGCTTTGGCTCTCTTGTTTGTTTATGAATGGTAAGTTGCCTAATAGAGTATGAATTACCATTCATCCCTGTCAGGAGTCTCTAGTTGTTCACTGACAAGGAGCTGATTTCACAGGAGATGAAGTTACCTTTTAAGGAATCCTTGTATCTCTTCAGTGAAGTGAAGCTCTCTTTCTCTTTCAGCCAGAGACAAAAAGATAACAGTCTCTCATTCTTTCATTCTTGCCATATGAGTCTTCCACAGCAGATGAGTCTTAATTCCTGTGTTCCTACCTAGCTTTGCAATGAAGTCTTTAGAACAGAAGTATCTTTGGAAGTCATTGTTTTTCATTTGTCCATTCTTGTCATATGACCCACTCACTACAGTTGATTTTTTTGAAACATCATTAGAGTGCTTGTGGACCTGGTTGGCTTTAGAATTTTGGTCTTTGTAATGGCAGTGAATGCTGGAAAATTTCCTCACAGAAAACTTGAGGCAACAGATGTAGTTTTTCAGAAGGATGCTGAGAGTAGCATAGACATCACAACTGAGCAACAAGGAAGTTTTAAGGAAAATGGAAAAAAAAAAGAGAGACTTTTACTTAGAATCAGAAAGAGAGTTGAAATTTTTGGGACATATAATGAGAAAAAAGGCTTGGAAAATTTGACACTCAAAAGGCACATCAAAGGTGAAAGGGACAGAGGAAAACAGCAAATAACCTACCTAACGAGCTTGTGTAAATGGATTGCAGAATGGGGAGTAAGAAGGATCATATAAAGACAAACACTGATAAGAGCTACAAAGGATAGGAAATTGTGGAGTGCCATGATTGCCCACTCCCTGAAGGAACTCAGTACATTGATGATGAAGAAAAAGTGTAAATAAATGAAGATGCTACTTATATATGGTCCACTATTCCACTCCATTTCAAAAGGTAGGTAGAAAAATGACTTTGTAGACACCTTTTTTAATCAATTCCCCTAATGAAAGGAAATAATGACACAAAGATACAAGGGATTACTAGAAGGAACCAGAAACCCAATCCTAAACAGGGAACAAGGGATAAACATCTACTCCTGTTAAAAAAAACAAAAAACGGAGGAGTGTGAACCAGGTAGTAGGTGACCTTATCTACTCCTTTTGTTTTAAAATTTAAAAGATGCCTTTTTGATATCCACACTATGAAATCAGTAATATTTTTTGGTTATTTCTCATAATAAATTTTTATTTTCCCAACAGATAATAAGAGAGGATGAAGAATTAAAAGGCCGAGTAAAGAGAGCTTTTGAAATGATGCTGGACTTTTTTGGCATGGAGCTTTTTAGTTATAACCAATTTAAACTCGCAGAAAATGCTGACCAAAGACTGGAACATATTAACACATGGCAAGTTAGATATTAATTCTTACAGTTCTTGTTAATAATTTTTGCAAAGGTGAAATTTTTTTTTTTAATTGAGCAAGTAAGAAAATTAAAAAAAAAAAATAACAATAAATTTGTAATCTTTGTTTAAAATTTATTTTGTTGAGTTTTATTTTGTTATTCACAAGGACTTGTATTACTGTAATTTTTTATGTTTCTGTATCATGCTTTGTCATATGGTACTTTGGAATTATGACACCTTAATCTCCATGAGAGAGTTGTAGTTATGTATCCTATATTGGAGAATGTATCTCTGAAAATAAAAAGAAAACATATATAATGTCTTAATGTCTTAATTCAGCCTGAAGTGCTTTGCGCCAGTATTGACAGTTCCTTTACACCTTAAACACCAAAATATGGAAACTAATAGACATACTAAGAAGAAAAACTAATTGAAAATATTGTTGATATAACTTGTTTGTTGTCTTTAGCAAAACTGATTTTAATCAATATCTGATGCCTAGATACACACACACACATGCGTGCACATGCACACATGCACACACACACACAGACACACACATATATATATATATAATAATAATAATAATAATAATAATGATAATATGATGTTTTGATCTATTTTATATTGAGCACTTTTTAAAAAAGTAAATGCTAAGAATTGTTGATTCTTAATCCATTTTTTCTTTCTCTTATTTATGATATATATATATATATATATATATATAAAGAATCCACAATTCTTAGCATTTACTTTTTAAAAAAGCACTCAATACAAAATAGAGCAAAATATTATATTTTTATTATAACAGATTAGAATAAAAACATTGTACATTGTTATACAAAAACTTTCATGTTTTGGAACTATAATCGTTCCTCTTCGGCCAATAGTAGATAACATGTTATCTACCATCTATTATAATAAAAATGTTTCACTTTTATTAAAGTTTCATCAGAGAATGAGATATAGAGAAAAGCAGAAAGAATTTTTCTCCATCTTTCATTCTCTGATGAAACTTTAGTAAAAGTGAAACATGTTAGATTTATCTTAACATTCTGTCAGATTCCAATTTGTAGTTGATCCCAACTAATGATGAAAATTGGTGTGTACAAGTTAGTAGTAATGGTATTACTAGTTTATGGTGCAGCATCTTGGACTCTGTACTGACAACACATCAAACAACTTGATGTCTTCCACATGTACAATCTGCAACAGAAAACTGGGTGAACACATTAGAAACAGTAAAGTTCTGACTAAATGCAACATAACAGGTACTGATGCCATCTTAATGAAAATCTAACTCAGGTGGGAAGGATATCTTTCTCATATGAGTGATAGCATACTTCCAAAACAACTTTGGTTAATTTGCAGTATAAGTACCAAAAGCGATAGTCATAAAGAATCTAAAATTCATGTTTGTTGTGTTTGTTCAAGAACTTTCATACAACTCATGATATTCAGAGCAAATGTCTTAATCATATTTTTGTTCTTTTTCTTTCTTTCCAGGGGTTCTGACTCATTTGTAAAGATTTCCAGAATCCTCCTGTCTCTTAAAGAACTTGGATTTGAATATTTGATGCTTCCATGGATGATGCTTCTTGCAAAGCTCATCTATGTGGAAAAGAAACTTGATAAAGCTAGCGATAGCTTTGAGGAATATTGGATGGAGACATTGAGTAAAAATGACCGTGACGAAATCAGTGACTTCATAAATGAATATCAATAAATCCCTTTCATTCTGTTTTATTAATGATAAAGAAGTAGAAGGGATAAATCCAATATACAGTAAAAAAAATTAAAGGTAGAAGTATTGCATTATAATCCAGCTTGTTCATTAGTTAGCACATAAGTTATGTCCTTCTAATATCTCATAAATAATGGACTATTCCATTTTGATTATGAGGAAAGACAAGAAAGACATTGGAGGTACTCCTTAGTTTCAGTGAAAGAAAGAAGAGACAATAATACTCTTGTGTTCAACATATGATTCAGTGAAATGGACAAAAACGCAATTTTAAATCATTTCATTTATACCCTTTTACTTCCTTAAACAATGACCTGTTTTTATACTTGTAATTATTATTACAATATTTTGTTAAAGTTGTTAAGTTCAAATTAACATGATAATATGGGAATTTCCAGAGGTATTTTATAGTTGTAGAACTCAAAGAAGCTTATTCAATCATTAACTTAAGAATTATGATTCATCAGAAAATTCAAATAGCAAAACTATTTTTCACAAGTACAACTAGTTAATATGATAATTACTTTAGATAATATGATTAATACTTTAGATAGAACTTAATATGATTAATACTTTGGATAAAACTAATATTTAATTTCTTTATTTAACAACTCATTTTTTGAAGCCACAGTTTTAAAACTACAAATATAAAGATATTTTATTTCTTTCACAGAACTGACTGCTAAATGAATATATTAGTAAACTACTTTAGAAATAAAAAAAACACCAACAAGTTGAATGCCGACATTTTAAAATTCCAATGTAAATGAAGAATGAATTAAATTTTTCTTTGCTTGCCTCTACTTTTTTACTTAATATTAAAATGCTATATATTATGATAATTTGCTTTTTATTTTAAAAATGAAATGCTTAAGACTTGCTCATAACTTACTATCCATTTTTTCCCTACACAAATTTATATTTACATTGTCAAGTTTAATAGAGCAAAAATATTTTATAAATTTGTTTTTTTCCTTAAAGAATTTTTTAAACTTTCCTTTTAGTATCCTGTGCAATTTTTAACATTAGTTGATAATAATATAATACTAATTAGTAATTGATAATAATTAATTGATAATAAAATTAATATACTTAAAACTGCTTTTTGTGTTTGGTTTCTTTCTTAAGCTATTAAAATGAAAAAAAAATTGTATAAAAAAATTCTATATTTGCTTTGTGTATGGCCATGTGGCTGAGTGGTTAGAATGTTCACATTCTGACCATGAGACCTGGATTTGAATCTCATCATGGTTGATTTGTGAGAAGGGAGACTTCCTTATGACTGGAATTGACTTCCTGGAAGGGTCAATTCCAGAATGCAGCACCTTTGGGAAGTGCCTGAAAACCATACCACTGGTTGACCCAAGTGAGTGAAATTGGGTAGACAGAACCCATAGGCAGGGAGCGTTGATAGCTGTATTAGCAAAAAGTCACAAGTTATCATGGTCGAAGGCTTGAATCATATATATATATATATATATATATATATATATAATATATATGCACACACACACTTTACTTGCTAATACCATTGGGAAAAGTATGAATCTTCTTCTTCTCCCATCTATGGGTAAATAGCAGGACAGACTTGGATGGCAACTGGTCTAGGAGAAGGACAATTCTGAATTCAAAACCTGTGGAGGGTCATTTGGGGACCTTGTGGCACCAGGTCTCTGTATTTGGCCTTCAAAAGTATGGTTGGTTCTGCACAAAGCCTTCACCCTCCATAAACAAATCATATGTGCAGATGTCCGGCTGTCGGTTCCTAGGAACTGAGTTGCTTGACCCTCATACGTTGATAAACGATGGGAGAGACCAGAAAACTACACACACACACACACATATATATAGGTAAGATGAGAATGAATAGAGTACAATTCCAACGTTCATAACATTTAATTTAAAAGAGGGCGATATGCAAAGTAGAGCAATATTATTTATTTTAGAATATTACACTGAAAACATGGCCAAAATCACTGCACAATTGCAGTTGTGTTACAATGCGTATTGATGCATCTCATCAGGTGATTGTAAATTACTGGCAAGTGAATGATTTATTTAGATTTTAAAACAAAATATACAACCTCATTTTATAAAAAAAAAAGTTGGGTATAGGGTTTGTGGGCTTATATATATATATATATATATATATATATATATATATATATATATATACCTTATATGTGTGTGTGTGTGCTGGCTGTGTTCAAATTGTTGATCTTGTTAGATAACACATGCTCTCCCAGAAACTGTAGCCCAGGTCTGCTCAGCATAGTTGCAGTATAAACCACAGGTGGGCTCTGTGGATGTTGAATGAACACAAATGTGCCTGAGCAAGCATCTGCAATAGAGATTGGATAGCTACCCTAATAGTCAGGTATCCTCAAATATGAGTGGCTAGTTATACTATATATATATATATATATATATATTATATATTAAGGAAGGGGAACTACTCTGAACTAAAAAAAATATTAGAGAAGTCAATAAGAATATATTCCACTGTCTGTTGCAAGAAGTCATGATAATTCACTGAAAATAAAGAAAAGGAATCTGTGTAGAGTCATGATCACCTGTGTCCTGAAATGGCATGGAGTTCTGTTAAAAATACCTTATTTATTCACTTTCTCTAGTCATTTCCCTCCACACAAGGCAATTGTAGAGGACCGCGTGTGTTTGCGTGTTGTTGTATTAGAAACACGTGTGTAACTCCTGGTAGAATATTAAAAGGTCCAACTACAAGAAAATGGCGGACTTGAATTAAGTCCAACTGAAGATAAAGAAAACAAACAAAACCAATATATATATATATATATATATATATATATATATATATATATATATATATATATAAACAAATATATGCATTAAACAAAACAATTTTACAATAGACAATAACATTTGTGTGTGTGTAAACATTGGTGTCTGTTCTTTGGTGAATATTCATACATACGTGTATGTGTGTATAATGTCCATGGCGTCTTCCACAAATGGGAAGATGCAGATCTTCTAAGAGAGCTTACATTGTAGTTGCTGAAATGAAGAAATGAAAAAGAGAATGAGGTGAGAATTCACCCAGTATTTATAGTATAGGGAGAATGACCCCCAGTGACAATTTGGGAATTAAGGAGGAGGCTAGCACCAACAAATCCATTGCAAGGTCAGCTGTTAAGAAATTTTGCCTACTGTGTCATGCTAGATCATGTTTTTATCCTGAATTTATCTTGCATATCTATAAGTCTACTATTTGTCCATGTTTAGATAAAACAATTTGGAAAGAAAATTTATAATGTCTGGAAAAATCATGTTTATTTAAATTTTATTATTTATTATTTTATTTTAAATTATGAATAAAAACTTGTTTTCATATTTATTTATAGAAAAATAAATAATAAATATTGCATTATAGTTGGTTCACATATTGTGATAATTTTGTAGACTTTTATAAAGTTTTAAATAAAAAAATTTCTTTTTTAAATTTATTCCTTTATAAAATGGTAAATAATAAATATCATATCATACTTGGTTCACATATTTTTATAATCTTGTAAATGATCATTGCCGAGGGAGTCTTGGACATATACAGTAATGATGGTATCAAAAGAAAAATCACCTTTTTGAAACTTTTTTTGAAGATATGAAAGTTAAACTTTGCCAAATTCTTTTTTAGGTTGCCTCATACTATAAATATACTTTATTAATTTTAATTTAATTTTTATTAATTTTGATTTAATATTATCTTTTAAAATCTTAATTCTTTGGACATCATGGAAAGTAAATGCAGTTATTTTATGTTATATTATTCCCTTCCTGTCCACTGGAATATAAGATCATATCTATGCTACATGAACAAACCCACATTTTACATTGGCTTCAGTTTTGTCCATTTGATGCACATTTCTTTCAGCATCACTTTCTATTAGGTTGTTCAATTGCTCAAATGTACATTTACTACCCAGCACAAGTATTGAACTGATAACCTTCAACTAATTTAAACTTATGCTTTCATAAGTTGACCTGTTCCACCTGCAATTGAAATGGGTCAAATAGCACAGTCATATAGCGAGAGAGAAAAAGTTATCTCCCCTTGACCCAAAACAAAACAAAAAAAAATAGCAATAAAAATTAATTTATAAATCAGTCAGTCAGTTATGTGCCATGCGTGATACACTCTTAGGCGATCATGTATCTTTCAATACATGACTGACAAGGCAATTTTTTTCCCTGCTGTAGGTTACCATTTCTTTCTGCAGTAGACCAGTTGCCATCCAAGGCTATAGAACCTGGTCTGTTCTGCTATATACCCATAGCTGAGAGGAGAAGAAGAGGATTCATACCTTTCCCAAGGATATTAGCATGTAAGTGAATGTAATGGATTTGACTGGAATCTGATTCCTCAATCTGAGCCACTATCTATTACTCCACCATGCCTCCTCCTAATTATAAATATTCACAAGAATAAAAACAGTCATATGATCTGACGAGACCCTCACAAGACAGTTAGGCAGGAAAATCAATCTTCCTGTTTTTGTTCCATAAAGTTATAGAAACAGGACACAATTTCATGCTCAAGTAAACCAAACAGATAAGTACAAGTTTTTTATATAGTTTTTGGTACCCAGTTTACATGCTAACCTAGTATTAGTATAAGTGTTTTTATACAAAGACATTTGTGTTTTGTTTGAATCTTATATATATTTATGTTGTCATATGTTTCACATACTTTAAACGAGGTCTATGTTTCATATTCCTGAACAACATATTTGGTGACCATGACGAAAAACACATTTTGATAACCCAGCGAAAAAAAAAAATGAAAATGCATAAATACATATCTGGTGCATTCCAGCATATATATATATATATATATATATATATTATGAAATGGACAAAGTCCGACAATTATTTTAAGGCATTTTTTATATAAATAGTATTAAACAACATTTAACGGCCTGAATGTCCGAAAAATTTTCCTAGAAAATATTCGTCCTCCGACAGGAAAATTTCTCAAACATTCATGCCGATAACTGTTGGAAAATTGTAGTTTAAAGACAGTAAAATTGACCCTGCTAACCGAATGCTCCCCTGTGGCCCAATTGGTTAAAGGCACATCGGGCTATATGACAGTTCCGTATAGGATACAGGTTCGATTCCTGACTCTTGTGTAAACACAAGTATTTTTTAAGTATTTCTGTGTTTGGTGCACAGACCTGTTTGATTTGCATCATTGCATAGTCAGTCAGCATTTTTGTAGTGAAGTTGGTTTAATGAAAAGAAAGATTTTTGCAAACAGAAGTCATAGAGAAAAAAGAATACCAAACTTCCAGTGCTGCTAAATTGTCAACCAAAACTTCCACTGTACATAAGCACGAGAAATTAAAACTCAAATAATAATCCAGATAGAAATTCCACTAAATGAAGATGCACAATAATTCAATGTTGATAAATGAACCAATCAAAATTTATTCTGCAGAAGCTGATGATTAATATTTAACGAGACAAAAAATATTTTACTCACCCAGAATCCACTAATGATATTTGAAAAAATTTTTTTAAATTTCTAACTATACCAAAATCAAACTAGAAAGCAAAACTGTAGATGTGTTAAATAATAATGGTAAACTTTTATTTAATAACAATCAAATATTGAACTATGTTAAAAAAAAAAGCTGTAGAGTTTACAAACAAATCATACTGTTTTATCGGCAGACAATGATAGAGCTTAAACTTGATTGAAGAAAGGAGCGATTGAGGACATTATGTAACACACTCTTACTAAGCTGCTAACAGTCACAAGAACCAAGCTTATGAGAATCTATAATGGTGTTTCACTCTGTCAGCAAACAGCAACTTAGCCTCAACTCGGTCACATTTGCAATTATTACAAACAGATACAGAATTGTGTCTATTTTAATCAGAGCCATCATATTCACTCTGCAAATAAATATTTTCATGGTAATTGTCCTAATGAGAATTCCTCCCTGGTACCTCAACTGCATGAATTTAAGCATACTGCTAGGTTAGTAATTAGATTTTATTGTTTTACTGTTGAAATAGCAAGACATAATAAGTTCTATTCTAATAGTTTCTTTTCTTACACTTTCCACTTGTGGAACTATTTTCCTGTTACTTACTTCCCTGTCAACTATGATTTTCAAAAATTTAAATGCAACGTCAGTCACCATCTTCTGTCTTCCTGAATCCTGTTCCTTTATTGTCCTTTCTTCTCTCTAATGTTTCCTCATTTTCTTTCATTCTCAGTAACCACCCCGCTGCATCTTAGTGACATGATCGTGTCGAAGTTAGCTCCTCCTTAATTCCCAAATTGTCACTAGGGTTCACTCTCTCTATACCATAAATACTGGGTGAATTCTCGCCTCATTCTCTTTTTCATTTCTTCATTTCAGCGACTACAGTGTAAGTTCTCTTAGAAGATCTGCATCTTCCCATTTGTGGGAAACACCATGAACATTATACACACATACACATACGTACGAACATTCACCAAAGAACAGACACAAACGTTCACACACCCACAAATATTATTGTTTATGTCCATTGTAAAATTGTTTTGTTTAATACATATATATATTTATGTCCATTGTAAAATTGTTTTGTTTAATATATATATATATATATATATATATATATATATGTATATCGGTCTTGTTTGTCTTCTTTATCTTCAGGTGGACTTAATTTAAGTCCGGCAATTTTCTTGTAGTTGGACCTTGCAACAGACAGTGGAATATATTCTTATTGACTTCTCTAATATTTTTTTAGTTCAGAATAGTTCCCTTTCTTAACTGGCCGCCATTTATGACTAGAGAGACAAGTCTACTCAGCTTTTTAATACATTAGTGAGGGAAGAGGAAAAAATGTATTTATGCCTGTTCTAAGAACATTTTCACAAAATAAATGCAATAGAATAGGACTGAACTTGAACTTGTATTGCTAATTCAACTTTCCATATCATAACTATTATTATACTATCTCTACATCCTAAATAAGGGAGGCTACTCTATAAATCTAGTTTAATAGTTATCTCCCTTGTAAATAATTTTTTCCTAGCTTAATTCAAATACAGATTTTACAATATTATCATTCAATTGCAAATCACCTGGATATTTTTTTTTACATTTTTTAATTTTTGTGCATTTTAAAAATATCTTAATTTAATCAATATCTCTGGTTAAAATACAATGTCATGGCTACTTAGTGTTGTGCATAGAAGGGTAATGATGCTGTGATCTATCTATCTATCTATCTATCTATCTATCTATCTATCTATCTATCTATCTATCTATCACATGACTCCCCCTGTTATCCTTTACTTTTACAAGAACCAGGTCAGACCAAAACTAGAGTATTGCTGCCATATATGAGCAGGAGTTGCCTTGTCTTTACTTTCCAGTCTCAATAGAAACCAAAAGCATCTACACATTCTTGTGGGTGATGGATTATTTTCCACCCTACAACCTCTTTCTCACAGACAAAACATCACAAACCTCTTGCTACTCTATCACTATTTCCATTGAAAGTGTTCAGACAAATTACATTCCTTAGTTCCACCATTTCTAATCTTCCTGGCTAAGACCCACCATGCCACGCCTATGGTAGCAGACCGCCCTCATTACCTTTGTAATCCATTGGTGAGATTTAAGTATCACCTGAAAAAATTCTTCCCATGAACCACTGCTTTGTGGAACAAACTCACAAAAGGCTGATTCCCCAATTTAGTGTCTTTTGGCACAAAGTCTGTTTTCTGGCAGGAAAGATTTCTGTTGCATTCTGGGAGAATTTTTATTTTTGATTTTATTTAATTTATTTTAAACAAAGTTTTAATGTTATTTTTTTTATTATTTTATTTATGATATCCATTACTATTATTATTTTATATCTTTATTTTTTATTAATAATAATAATAATAATAATAATAATAATGTCCCTAAAATATTTATGATAGAAGCTATATGTTTGAAATTGAAAAGTATTAAATTTAAGTTTTCTATACTGATTCAACTTTCATAAATTTAAAAACAAATTATCAATGTTTTAACTTTCATGCCTGCAAAAAACTGATGTTTCAAAAGGACTTTTTTCTGTTGATCCTGCTATTACTTTAAACTGCTGAAAATCCCTCAGCAATGTTTATTTACAAGATTAGAAAAGTATGCAACCCAGGTACATTGTGATTATCATTTACTATTTTATAAAGATTTATTTATTATTTTATCAAGAAGCAAATTTTTAAAAAAAATCTTTTTATTGAAAACTTTATAAAAAATCTACAAAATTATCAAAATATATGAACCAACAATAATACAATATTTTTTATTTATCTTTTCATAACAGTTTTTTTTATTCATAATTTTATATATATTTTATATATATTATATATATTTGAACTATAGAACAATAAAATTTAAATAAACATATAATTTTGCAGACAATATACAATTTTTCTTTTCAAGTTATTTGATATCTCAGATTAGTTTTTGTTTTAATTTTACAATTTTTTATAGTTGGGATCCGAGTAGTCAGTCAGTTAAGTGCCATATGTGATATGTGCTTGGGTGATCATATATCTTTCTTCAATACAAGCAGATTTTTCCCTCAGTAAGCTGCCATTTTTTTTGCGGTAGACTGGTTGCCAACCAAGGCTAAAGGATCCAGTCTGTTCTGCTATTTAATCCATATCTGGAGAAAGAAGAGATGTGTTCATACCTTTCACAAGGGTATTTATGCGTAAATAAATCCAAAATCAAGGATACCTATTGCCTAATCAATAGAAATCCAAGGGCTGAAACTCCTACAATTATATGTTAACTCCCTTAACAACTTTTTTTAAAAAAACATAATTTTGAAAATTATTTTAAATGGTTGCTACTTTTTCTAAAAATGCCCAGAAATTCTGCCAATAGATTATTTATTGTCAGTTAAGTGCTGAGGGTTAGGGTTAGATGAAGAAATAAATAAAGACTGAACACTAAACGCCTGACTAAAGCAATTTTTGAAGCTGGCAATTGTGTGTTCTTTAAAATACCAAAATATTGGCTAATTGACAATGAATTCAAACTTTATAAAATGGTAAATAATAATGCTTTCACGATAGCTGGTCCAAATATTTTTATAATTTTGTAAAAATTTATAAATTTATGAATAAAAAAATTGTTTCTATATTTATTTCTTTATACATTGGTAAATGTTAAACATTTCATTATATTAGTTGGTTTGTATATTTGTATAATTTATATATATATATATTTTTATAATGATGTAAATAAAAAATTATACTTGTAAAATCTATCCAATAAATAAATAGTGTTTAATGTTTTTGTTTTAAATTCTCAAGAACAAAGAAAATGTATAAATTCACTTTCATATATCTGTTGTTCATTAAAATTCTAATCACCACATTTTAAAATAATAAACATTGCTGAGGGAATGATGGTAGTAAAAAATAATAGCAGTGTCAAGGGAAAAACCGTTTTTTTGAAAAATTGTTTCTTGTGAGCATGAATATAAAATATTGCTAAAAAATTTGGTAAATTTGCAGTATAAGCACTAAAAGCCCTCGGTATTGAGAATGTACCATTCTGGTGTGAAATTGCCTGGTTATGTTGAAAATGACATTAAAACATTGTGCTCAATTACCATTTAGAAGTTATGGACAATGTAAGTTTGACTTCTTTCTCGTCGTGTAGACAGAATGTCTGCCATTACTGGCTTTGTTTACATAGGTTTGCTTCAAGTAGTCATGCAGTGGGGAAGTTTCACTTGTCCTGATTACTGCACAATGTGCAAAGTTTGAAATGAATGCGCAAAATAATGCATGAAAAAATGTAAAATCCAACAATTAAAATAGAATAAAAATTACATGTTTGAAAAGTTAAGAAAGAATTTTTTCCTTTTTTTTTTTCAACAATATTTTTTTTTTTTATGTGTCATGTAAGTTTCTTGAAGTTAAAGCTTTGTAAATTACATTTTAGGGTGAGATTCTGTTTTGTTAGCTATAAGCAGATTTATTAAGGATAATAAGGAAAAAAATACTATTCATTTAAAAGTTCATTTTAAAAAATAAGTGCATTTTAAAATAACATCCACAAGAACCACACAGTAATCAAGACTAGTAAGATGTGAAAAGCTGTAAAAAGGCTAAGTTATGGACAATAAAGTAAGCTTCCATGTATTATTAATACTAGAGGAAAACATATATAAAAATTGCCAGTAATAGCAGCCAGACAATACGAAAGAGATTGAACTAATATTGACGATAAATCAAAAATAGTAATTGAGTGCCAGGTTTTAATGTCATTTTTGAAATAACCAGGCAATTTCACACCAGAATGGTACATTCTCAATATCAGGAGCTTTTGGTGTTTATACTGCAAATTAACCAAAGATTTTAGGTGTTGTATTTTTTTTATTAATTTTCACTTTGTTATTCAGTTATCTTATAATTCCATTTTTCTTCCTATTTCATATTGTGTGTGATTATATCATACATTGTAGGAAAATGAAATAATGATGCTAATAATAAAGAAACTGGAAATTTTATCACCTCACTTGGCTTCATCAAATGCCTGTAAGGGGGTGTTATTTAAGTCTATAAAAAGAAATATTTACTTTCTCTTTCTTTGTCTTCCTCTTGCTCCTAAATATAACAGGTCATAGATGAGAATGCCCCTGTTGAGGCATGAACTCTTTTCCTAACACATAGCATTCACATGTGTTTTCCAAAACCTACACCTATGAAGTAAATCAACCTTCTCTTTGGTCGTTCCAACTTTGGTGCAAGGCTGACTTAAGCTGACCATTATAATGATGCTTATCTTTACTTACCCTAACTTCTGGACAAAAAAGAAAACAGGTTTACCCAAGAGATATTGAGAACTTTATTTATATGAAAAAGAGAATAAATGGTACATAGTAGAAACCCAAGTATTTGTATGCTTCTTAATTGTTTATGAGGGCCATTCAAAAAGTTCTAAGCCTCACCTAGAAAGAAGAGCCATGGCTGAACATTTTTGCTGTGACAAAACACTACCACTCCTTATTAAACTAGAAAAACTAATTCAGATTAATGTCTTAATTTCTGTGTAGATGAGGCCCAAAGTTGAGAGGTGTGCGACAAATCTAAAAGTGGACAAAACCAAGGCCCAAGCAGTCATAAAGTATCTGCAAAAGAAACATATGACACCCAAGGAAATCCATGGGGACATGGTAGAGACACTTACTGAAGACTTCCCTTCTTATGAAACTGTGAAGAAGTGGGTTGCAGAATTTAAGCGGGGCAGGGGCAGCACAAAAGATGACCCTTGGTCAGGTTGTACAAAAATCTCAACCACTGTTGAACAGATTGAAGCCATGTGACCCACGTGACTGCATCCGGACCAAAGGGAGATAATCGCTTTTTATATCCCTACAAATATATATAAGATACCAAGCAAAGTCATTCAAAGATTTTAATAATTGATATCATTTTAACTGGTTTTTTTTTTACAGATATTTTCAGTGATACTTAAAATCTATCTTCATTTTACAAATTTTATTTACATAGCAAATAATTTATCAAAATTGAATTATTATTATTAGATTTTTAACTTCCTCTGACATTTGGGATATTATCTGTTTATCTCTCTCCTTACCTCTTTTCCTAGATATATAATAATAATAATAATAATAATAATAATAATAGTGATTTTTTTTTTCAAAATTGCTAAGTGAAAATGTCATGATGCCATTTCTGACCTTAGGAAATAAATTAGTACACACCAGAAATCAAAGGAATAATAATAATAAAACCAAATCACCCAGCCATTATATAACAAAGAAAGAAAAGAAAAAATTGCACAATCATTGACACAAGTGATAAAAAAATCTTTGTAAAGATTTTTGAAAAACTAATCAAAGACCAGGAAATGGAAATAAAATAAAATTATGGCCCTTAAAAACTAAAAGTGTTGATGTCATGACTGGAGCTTTGGGTCTGATAAAGAAAGGAACTCAGTAACAGATCAACAAAATCTCTGGTGTCCCATCTCTCCAGGAAATCCAAAAAATACTTTTTCTAACAGGCACTGCTTATATCCTGTGAGTAGTTTTGGCCATTTAAGTCTTTTCTTGTTTTTGTTTTTTTTGTATGTTTTTTTTTTAATAGCTGTCTTTTATTTAATTAAGTGGAAACACCAAAAAGATTTAGAGATGGAAACAGAAAAAATGTGGCACTTAAAAACTAAAACTGTTCCTGTTGTGATTGAAGCTTAATTTCTGTGGAGATGAAGCCTAAAGTTGAGAGGTGTGTGACAAATCTAAAAGTGGACAAAATCAAGGCTGAGCAGTCATAATGTATCTGTCTAATAAAGAAAAGAACTTAAGGACAAATTAACAAAATCCCTGTTGCACCATCTATGATATCTGAGGACTGAAAAGGACTTCACCTTTAACATGAACTTTTAACAAGATAATTAGATGCAATTCTCCTAATGTAAGTCTGCATAAGCACATTATATGCAACCACTTCTTCTTTTTCCTTATTTCTTTTTTTCTGTTTGGATTAAATATATTTAAATATACAAGTTGTTGTGTTTCTTATTCTTTGAATGCTCTAACTCAGTTCATTTGAACACACACAAGATTTAGCATTTTCATACCTCGTTGGAACAGGATTTCTTTAAATCAAACAGAACTGCTCACTTCGACATCCATAGCTCATTGGACAAAAACAGATTTTAATTTTGGTCAGCTCTGCACACCCACTTTCAGAATGTCACCCCAAAATACTGGAGTCATAAAACATCTTTTTTGTACCAGCCATTTCTCACTATATAGCCAACATTGATCTCATCCATGGAAGTAGATCTAACCTGGCTGGCGTTAGCAATGGACTCCCATGGCAGGCAAGCTTAACCGAATGTGGCAGATGACATGACTGCAGAATATCAGTAGTGACACCAAGTTGTTTCTATCAACAGTGATGCCATTAACCAGCAATAAAACAAACAACATCAGTAGAGAAAAACTCTCAGCTGCTACAATGCAATCATCTGTGGAATATTTCTCCCACAAGTTTATCTCACCCTACTTCATGTGCATATTGACTTTCTTTGACATGTCTGTCTCACTCATTTACATATGTGTGTTGATTTTATCCATGTGTCTATCTTGACTGCTTACCTTCTGTTATGCCCTGAACAAACTATCAGTCTCCCACATCTGGTATGCGATACCCTGAAACAAGTAAATGATTGAACCATGTAAATGATATTTATTACTGTATATGATATACAATAGTTTTGGCACATGGCCAAAAAGGGAAGTCGGGAGAGGCTGGTCTTCACTAACTATCCTATTCCTAATTAATCATGATCACGACCCATTCATCCAATACAATTGCTCCATTTACCACAAGAACTCATTCATCACCATTCAATCCTACATATACCACAATACCACATATTCACCAAGGGAACCTACAAAAACACCCTATGATATAAAAAATTTTGAATTCCTAAATATAAAAATATATAAAAATTTCATGAAGCATGAAATGAAGGGGGAGGGAATGAATCCTGAAAACAAACTAAAATGGGAACAAAAACAAACTAAAACAAAAAAGGATGTTAGTAAGACCCGTCCTCCCCTCAAAATAAACAAATGGGCTGATGTATTCTGCTGATAGACAGAATCAAGTAGAACACTCACTAAAGAAATGGGGAGGGTAAAAATAAATAACGGAATGGGAAAAATAAAGTCTGATTCAGCTGAGGTGAAAATGTGGAGCAAAACAACCTGGGGAAGTTGGGAATCTCAACATGGATCATTAGAACCTTGTAAATCATGGGAAATGAAAAAAAAAAAAAAACTCTTTTATTTATCTTGACCACGTCTTATCACCATTTGTTATTTTTTTCCCTTCCATTTTTTTCTTTTTAATCATAAGGCTGTCATTGCAGTAATACCCCAACAAACTTGAGATTTTATCCAGGTATAATATATAAAATGTCGTTTTATTGAAAACTAGAAGTAGAGCCCGGCGTTGCCCGGCGATGTAACAGTAAGAGATAGATCAAGTATCGGCCATCATAAAGACTGAAAAATAAAATTGACAAAGATTATTGTTTAAGGTTGATGGACACGCATGTCTTAATAAGTTTTTTTTTTTTTTTTTTATGAATTGGTCAAACCCAAACTCAAACAAAAACATTGTTTTCAATCGTTATGAGTCTCGATTGAATAGAATAATTTTATAAACAATTGTCTTGTAAATGGAATTTTTTAAAGCATTCTGAATGTAAAAATAAAAGAAAAAAGTGTGCATGACAATAAGAAACACTACATGCCAAAAAAAAAAAGTGAAGTTTTGTTGAAATCGGTTGAAAAATGTAGGTAGCCTTTCTGTAATCTTTTAGTTTTACAATTTATGATTTTTTACTTATTGAATACAGTAATAAAAATTGCATATTTTGCTTGTGGTGATTCATAATTAGAATTTGATTTGAATATATTTTTCCACTCGTTGTTTCTAATACAAAAAATATTAACTTTATTTGGGTTTATTAATTATGATCTAACAAATCTTATTCATTTAGTAGCCTTTCGGTAATAATAATCTTTTACAATTTATGATTTTTACTTATTGAATACAGTAAAAAAAATTGGACACCATGTGTATTTAAAGTAGTTTCCCATTCCGGTTATTATTTTTAGTTAGGACTTCTTGTGCATGTTTAGATTTCATTATCTTTCCCTAAAGATAAAGAATTTATTCCGATGTTTGTATTCGTACAATCAGTAGAGATTGTTAGATTATTGTTTAAGGTTGATGGACACGCATGTCTTAATTAGTTTTTTTTTTTTATTTTTTACGAATTGGTCAAACCCAAACTCAAACAAAAACATTGTTTTCAATCGTTATGAGTCTCCCAATTGAATAGAATTTTATTATAACTAATTGTCTTGTAAATGGAATTTTTAAAGCATTCTGAATGTTAAAAATAAAGAAAAAAGTGTGCAAGAGAATAAGAAACACTACCTGCCACAAAAAAAAAAAAAGTGAAGTTTTGTTTTATCGGCTGAAAAATATAGGAAATGTGATCCCATATTTAAAGGAACCCACACACACAAACAACCCGATGTGAGTTGTCCCCCTTCCGTTTTCATGATGTCTCTTAATCATGTTTTCAAATTGATTTTGTGCAAAAACAATTATATTTTTCCCATTTTTGGCGCTGTTAGAACCACCACAACGTAATTTTATATAGTCCTGTGAAGTTTTGTTGAAATCGGTTGAAAAATGTAGGAAATCTGATCCAATATATAAACGTTACAGACACACACACACACAATCTGCGTTTTATAATAAGTAAGATTATTAAGATACACTATCCTGACTGAGTAGATAATGTTACAGAATGTGAAGGCCAGGGCTAAAATGGTCAGTGATTGGCTAGAGTGCCTTGTGAGTGTGGTATTCTGACAGTAATCGATTTGTCTGGGTTTTCGATATAAGTTTAAAATGGCACAAATTCAATAGAGGCTTGGGAGAATTCTGAAGCGTCAATATATCTCCCACGCCCAAGTTAGGTGCCGGATAAGACCACGCACGGAGGGACACTGAGAGAACATGTAACATGCATTCCTGTGATGTCATTCCTCCCACTGCCTCTTAGAATTCAAGCGGATACAACTCTCTCTTAATAAAACAAATAAGAAAAAAAAAGGTCCTTTTCGTTGATACCATTTTGTGTAATAGTGTGAAGACCCAGAGACAACAGAACGCAACAATTCTAACTTAAATTAAAATTTATTTAAACTATAATTTACAAAAAAAGAGAAAAATTACACAGCATTTTAAACATATATAAAATTATTAAACTGCAAAGTTTCAGTTTTTAAGCATATATAGTTATTAATTTATTAGACATTTTATACTTTTCAAGTAACACACTTTAGAATTGAGCAGAGCATTTTTCTGTTAAATAAAATTTGTGCACATTTTGTGCTTAGTATGACATCTGTACATGAGGTATAAATAAAAGGACAATGTATCAAGTAGTCAATGAAATTGCGAATCCAAGTAGTCAATGTGTATAAGTGAGAGTTCTTTCTTGTTTTTCCATTTTCTCTCTGAAATCAAGTAGTGTCTTTTCCTCTCTTTCCATGCAATCAAAACAGAATAGTTATTTTTTATGAGATATTGGCAGGGCGTAAAGGTCGTGCGAACGAAGGGAGGGCTAAGCACAATAATAATTTTGTCTATTAAGAAATTGCTTTATTTTTAATCATATATGCAAGTACGGGTGTGTGTATTAATTTACTGTTTTTTTTTTAACTTTAAAGTTTTACACATACATTGGTGAGGATCGAATTCATTGAATCATCATGCATGATTCACGCTATTATATTGCTTATCGTTGCTCACACACACGGATACACATTGTCGCATAAGAAAATTCATTCTGACGTAAAAAAAATAATCGTCGTCATGATCTTTTTTACACACAAAAAAATTATTCTTATTTTTTTCCAGGTAACTTAAAGGTTATGCTTCTTATGTGCCTGCAGCAAGCATACAAAAAATTAATTAATAAATTAAGAACAATCTTTATTCGTTTCTACATTTGACTAAGGTGTGACAGTATTTTTAATAAATGTTAAAAAGTGAAAAAAGATCCTATTAAAAAAAAAAAAACTTCGACAAAAAAAAGTAACATTAAAAAAAAATGCTACGAAACTAAACTTCCGGTTTTTAGATCAGCTTGACTTTACTTATGTCTGTCTGTGCGTCACTTCTTGAAAAACTTTAAGTGACACTCCGAATATGATTAGGTTATTTTCGTTAAAACAGAAAAAAGATGGAGCTGATCCAGCAGATCGAGGTGGAAGCCAAAAGAAAGCATCGGCAGCCCAACTAAGAATACAAAAAGGTCCGGCATATTGTTTTAATTTAATTTTTTATTCTCCTTGTTTATTGTAAATACCCATTTTCTTACACTTCTATCCTCTGTTCCTCGTAAAAAATCGTCTCCACAGTTCGCACAGATTTAAAACAATCTTCCATCATTTTATTTGAAATAATTTTTATTATTTTATTCGTGTTTTTCTGCTTTGTATTAATATGATTGTTTTCAGTGATTTATTGAAAGAAAATTATGAAAATTGTTTTTATGCGAGTGAGATATTCCGCTTGTCCTTTCAATTTTTACTTGGGTACATCACCCAAACTTTATTTCTTTCTCCTTCTGGAAAAAAAATTAATAATAATACACGTGAAGGGATTATATATCAGTTTTAAATATTTTGATTTAAACAATATTTCTTAATAAAGGAATCGCTATTTCAAATATTGTCCCTTGAAGAAAACGATTATTTTTGTGTTTTCTTTAAAAATGCTGACTAAAAACAAAGTTAATTAAAAATCTAATATTAACATATTTAGTAAGTATTTAGTCTATTGCAAGTTTATAACTGAAACTTCAACCGAAGTCATGTTTTCACAGTTTTTGTTGTAAAGCAAAAGTGAAAAAAAAAAAAAATTGAAGTTTTATTTTAATATTTAGTAAAATATTTCATATATTATACCTTGTTTAGTATATTACATTCTTTTCCATTTAACTAGCTTTTAATTTATATTTTCTTTTCTTTGTTAGAAATCCTTTATTTTAATTTTAAAGGAAATCGTTTGTTATTTGGGAAGTCCTCTTCTGTTGCCACCCTCTTTGAAAAAGAACCTAAGGAGATTTGAAATTCTGAAATTTTCTTCCCAGCTTTTCTTCATAATGCAGATGAAAACCATCGATTGCCATCATTTGTCGACGTTGTTTTGAAAATATGAACTCTTTTCCTGTTTTCTTTTGTGCCCTAGAGAAAAGTCTCTTCATGACCCTTTTCAAGAGACTTCTTTTAGTTTTATTTCATCTTTAATTCTAAATTGTATTTCTATCTCAAAATAATAATAGCCATCTCTGTATAAGTTTGATTCTAGAAAAAATAATTTAAAAAAATATTTTCATATGACATTAAGAAGAATGTCCAAGATTTTTAATGATTGTAATCATAATTATTTCAATTCAAAGTTTTTATCTGAAAATAATACTTACTTATTTTCTTTTATGTTTATGAATGTAGAAGAAAAAAATGATAAATTATCTTTTGATTTGGTTTGTTTTACAGCATATCAGCCTCAATGATTTTTTTAATGTCGACAAGATTTTTATTGCTAGTAATATTTTTTTCCAAAAATATATTGCTGGTAATATTTTTACAAAAATGTATTGCTGGTATTAAAACATATTTTTACACTTTCATAATGTTTTGGGGGTTAACTATTTACCCATAGCTGGGATCCTAACAGGTGCTACCAACCAGGGTCAGGGTGAACCTGGGAACACCAGCAATTAAGAGGTGGTTCTACACTCCTGAAAACCTCCTGATCAGAGGCCTTACTGTCAGATGTAGTTTATCGTCATACCCAGGATAGTATATTTTGATTTCCCTATTTTTAAATTTTGAATTTTGATGGACATGTATGTTTTTTTTTTGTGTGTGTATCATATTGAGGTGCAGCGATTTCTTAGCATATCCATGTTACCACATGCATAATTGTCATTATTAATACCAATAAAGGAGGAATTTTTATATAAACATCCTTTCATTTCTCAAGGACTGACTGATGTCTTGAACACTCAAATTCATGGTGACTTTACCAGTGAAAACATGAAATTCCCAAACAGTGTTTGGAATATATTCGTGAAACACACACACACTTAGCCTTCAAAAGAGAAAATTTCCCAAGACGCTAAAAAAAACCCCAAAAAACTTACAAAATAATCATTGCTTGTCATATTTGAGAAAACCTGCATCAAAGAATTGCTGCCCATAAATGAAGTGGGTGGTAAAAATTTCTTGGACCTACTCACCTCCCAAAATATTAGCAATTGATTGAACATATTTTGGAATTACTTCTTGGCTGGACATTTTCATCATCTCTTTGTATATAAAGTAAAGGAAGTAGTTATTGTTCATATGTTTTGGATATTATTTCCATTTTAATAAGAATTAATCTAATAAAGCTGGTTTTGTTTTGTAAATGGTTAATTTACACAATTTGGGAGACACTAAGCAAAAATAAATGCAACCAAGAACAACAGTAAAATTAGGTGAGCAATTTTGAGATTCATTCCAAAAGTCTGCCATAAAATTCTACCCACAATAACCATGTCTGTAAAACTTAGTTAAAAGCAAAAAAACACATTTGGCGAAGATTCATTGCAAGCTGCTTTATTTCTTGCACTAAGAAATATGCCTGTATTGGTTATTATCATTATATTAAATTATCTATTTTGTAGCAAATTATAAAAACCTTTCTATTCATATTTTATTGTTTCTAATTTATTATCAAACAACTAAAATATATCCATCTGAGGTATGATATATTTGTATTTTAATTTTTTTTTTTTAATACAGACTTTGGTTAAATTTGCATGACCATCCAACTTTCAGTATTTTCTAAAAATGACTAATGAGAATGTCAATTGAAAGTGGCCATTGTAGCTGCCAGAACTTGATAATTCTCCCTTTTGTACTTAAATATTTCCTAATTACATTATAATTTTTCTATTGTGTCCTTTACCTTTTCTTTTTAACCAACCAAATTCCAAATGTACTTAAATTTAGGCTGGAGTTTAGGATCTTGTTTTTGTTAAATTATGTATCAGAATAAACATAAAATTTATTTTGTTGTTATTAAAAGGAAATGATAAAACTGTTAAAGTGATAAGCTGAATGTCTTTACAAAATGCTTCTCTGGCCCTCTTAATAATATCAATCCCTGTAAATTCATACACATAAAGTGAAGGCACCTACTACATGAGTTTTAATTAACTCCAATTCCAGTCTCTGAATAGCTATTTAGTTTTCAACAATAATAGAAATGAAGTGCATGAATTTATCCCATAATATTTTAGATAATTATTTATTCTTAAACTTACCAAATGATGTTATATATTATTTTACTTTTATATTTGGTCTGATTGTGAATCTTTTTATGTAGTCATTTTCAGTGAAGCTGTTGCACTTCCTGTGAAGATGCCTATTCACATAAGCAAACATGCTTACATTTACCTTTTTTAACATTATTAGCCTACTTATGACCATTAACACATTTTGGTAATGGGAAAAGGATATATGAATTTTTATATATCAACAACAATCAAGGTAAACATCACTTAAGTCCAATGAAGTCCTAAGGATGAAACACATCACTTGGGAACTTTTTTTCCACTTTATCAGTTTGTTTTTTTTATTTCCACCCCCCCTAACATTTTAGTAAGGTAGTTTTGTTTTTGAGATTATGAATCTTTATAAATTATTCGAACTAGTATCCTCAGTGTCCTGAAAAAGACAATAAACTATGTCTGACAGCAAGGGCTTGGAGTGTGGAACCACCTCTTAATTGCTGGTGTTTCCAGGTCCACCCTGACCCTGGGTGTTAGCACCTGTCAGGGTCCCAGCTATGGGCAAATAGTTAACCCACTCACAAAAGGGATCAAAACACTATGTAAGTATAACTTTTTTTTTTTTTATCAGCACTATGTTCTTGAAAAAAAAAATATATATATATATATATATATATATATATATATATATAGCCAGCAATAAAAAATCTTGTCGGCATTAAATAACCTATTGAGATTGATATGCCATAAACCAAACTAGTATCATTGCATTTTTATTTATTTTTTATATATCATCTCAGTTTCTGCTGATGTATTCTCTTCAAAAATTTAAGTTTATTTTGCATTTGTATCTAGTGTCCTCCCCCTCCAACCAATTTATGTTTTTGCAAAAATAATTATACTAATTTGAATCCTCCTTGGAATAAGGTAATCTATTTTGTAATGGTGAAAAGAACTCTTTCTGAAGTGTATGATCATGTGATATATATGATGGTTGTTCACTTGCTATATGAAAATAGCCAACAAAAAGGCCACGGGGGATGAGTTGGTGGCTCCTCTCGAGCCTCTGGAAGCCTGGTGGTACCCATAATATTGTTTATAGGCATTCATAGCTTATGCAATGCTATTTGGACTCCCAGCATTAAACAACCTTCATTCAATAACAAAAATCAGTCAAGATGATTGGAGAATGCCTGGATGTGCAGGTGGTGATATGGATAGCAGTTCGGAATGAGAAATAAGAGAGAGTTCAAATTACAGTCAGGTTTAGTATATTAACTTATATGCAAATACCCTTGAGAAAAGTATGAATCCATTTATTCTCCCTCAGCTATGGGTTAAATAGTAGGTCTTGTATGTGGAAATATAATTATTCTTACAATCCAAAATGTTTTTGAATAACCCTTAGAGGTTTAAGCCATAAAAAAAAAACAAATGAATCTCAATGGAGACACTAGCAGGGACATTAATGTCCAAATCATATCACCTTGTTATTACCATGTGAGGTATAGATAGCTTTTTAAATTTAAAAAAAAAAAATTGAAAATTGGGTGTCATTTGGAACAAGTCTCCCAGAAACAAGGAAGATTTGAGTTTGTTGGTGTCAACCTTCTGTTTTTAGTATTGTCTATAGAGCAGTGATTGGCATTCTTACAAACTGTAAAAATCTTCTGCATTTTCAAAGAAAAATGTAATTTTTGTATTTAAAGAAAAAATTGTGCATACATGTAAAAACATTTTTATTTTGTCTTTGTGCAAAAAAAATATAAACTTGACAAAATCTGTTGATGTAATAATAAGGGAAGATTGAGGACCCAGGCTTTTTAAATGTTATTAATAGGATTTTATTAAAATATCCTTTCTTAGTTTCTCTAAATAGACTTCAAACAGATAATTTCTTATTGTCAATGCTAGTTTCCTTTCAGATAACAGAAGATTGTATTTGGTTCTACTCAATCCACATAGATGCT